AATTTGTAATAAATGTTTGACAAATCATTCATTGTGATATATTTAAGCTAAATTTTTAAATATTTGATGTATTTATATGAGAGACCTGCCGAGGTACCATTTGCATAGTCCGGCCTCGATTTTTTAAAAAATATATATTTATTTTTAATTTCTTAGATAATAATGGTTAAAATATTCGGATCGGGTATTTCTAAAAAAGATTTTAAGGCCTGGTCCGACCTGGGTTAAAAAAATTTTACGCCTTGCCCGGGTATATTTATAGAAAATTAAAGTACGGCATGGCTGTAAACTCGTGATCTGCATCGGACCTAATTTTTCAACCCGGCCCGGCCCGGCCCGAAATTTTTTTAAAAAAGTTTTGCCGGCCCGGCCCGAACCCTTAATTTTTTAAAAAGTTTTACCGGCCCGGCCCGAACCCGATTATTTTAAAATAGAATTAGGCCCGAGCCCAGCCCGTTCGAGTCGGACTCAGGCCGGGTACGGGCCGGGCCAAATTTTGCAGATCTCTACTGTAAACTGGCCTTGGGGTCGGGCCTTCAGGTCTCTGATTTCAATAAAAGATTATATAAGGTGGGGGGGGTGCTATTATATGTAATTTATCTCTTTCCTAAAATTCGCACAATTTGAATTTACATATACGTTGAAGGCCTAAGAAATGTACTTCCTTGGATGATTAACCAGAATAAATTATTAATGACATTTGCATTATCTGACATAAATTAAGAAATATGTTTTAAACATTTTTTCAGAAGATTATTTTAATATCAACGATGAATGTGAAATAATTATACAATTGAAAAATAAATTTGTAACAAATTCTAAAAACAAGAAGAATCTATGACTTACCATGGCAAGGATAGCAAAAAAATTGGTCAAGGGAAAGGGTTTTATTCAATATAAATATTATAATGGCTGGAAGTGATTTTTCGCTATTTTATAGATATTATTCGAATCCGATTAAATAAGTCGTATGTAAAAACCGTTTTATATCAATTAAGGTAATAAGAGAGAACCAATTGAAGAATATACCAATTTTATGTTATCATAAAAATCTTTTTTTTCCTAAACTAAATTACTAAAATAATTGGTTTTCTTAAAATCAAAAAATATCAAAAATATTCTTTTTCTGATGGTGTAGTTATCGATATATGAATAAAATTCATAATCTAAGCCATCATGAACTTGACATTGGAATCAAAGCGGAATGACATTTTTTCGTAATACCCCATGGCAAACATTACTAAAAGGTTAACAGAAAGAGCTACCTTCATCGTACATATGAGAATCAAATATTATACACCTTATATTCTTTTAATTTTTATAAATCAAATATCACACGCATAGTCAAAAAAGCTATCAAATATTATATGTTTAATATAAAAAAGAGTAGATATGATTTGTTTATTTGATGAATTGCTCATCAAAATAACTAAAAAATACAAATTAATTTTTGATTATAATTTATTGAAGACAAAATTTAATTTTTATTTCCACAATTATGTAAATAATTTTACCTTAATTTAATTTTCCCTAAGTGGCATAAAAGCATGAAACTTTTGTATACAATTATCGATCTATATATCAAGTATTTATTAAGAATATTTGCAACAGACTAATGACAAGAATGCCATTTCTCTTAAACTTGAGCTCGGCCTAACTTGAAAATTTGCATATTTATTTATAAATCTTATATCTTTATATAAGAAGTATTCAAGAGAAAAAAAAATACCGATTTGATTTTATGACCATTTCCGGTTTTTAAGGCCTACTATTAGGCTATATAAATAATTTAAATGAAGCTTCTAGCTCAATTATACCTAAAGAAACTTAAAATTAAAGGGAGAACCCATTTTTCTTCCTTTAAAGGCCCATATCTCAGCCGCTATTTGGAGTTGGGGGCTAAAATTTTATTTTTTTCTTAGTTATATTATATACAAACTTATAAAAAGTTCTAGGTTCAGGTTCGGTTCGTAAAAAATTAAAATATCGGTTCGTTTCGAACACTTTTGTATTCAAATCTACATTCGAATTATGTATAGGAAAATTATTTTTTATATTTTGTCATTAATTTAAAAAACACATATATAAAACCTTCATTTTTATTAATTGGCACATTATAAAATAATATTTAATTTATATTTTCCTTTTTTTACTTAAATTTTTTTAATTAAGCCGCACAATTAATATATTTTCAAAACTCGGCTCACTCAAATTACATCTATAATGAGATAGCAATTTAATTGTTGAAAAATCTTTCCACACTAACTTGAGTAGCCGGCACTGCCAATATGATATCAGATTTGATATGTCATTTATAATAATATTTTGGATTTAATTTTTTTCTAAGCATTATAATTTATAAGCTTAAAATATTTAAAAAATGTTGTAAAATGACATTATACTAAAGTTTATAAAAATTATGACCGACACTTATCAATCAAATGTGATTGATGATAATCTTTAAAATAATTCGAATATAATTGAAATCTAATAATAACTTACATATTATTTTATAATAAAATCATGAGACTCGAACCGGTTCAGAGGCATTTTAGCGGTTCGGTTCAGGTTCGGCTGGAATTTTTTTTAGCGGTTTAGGTTCGGTTCAGGTTTAATAAAAAATACCGGTTTTTAGCGGTTTAGGTTAGGTTTGGATCCCTGATGCCGAATTTTGGTGCCAAGAATTTTCAAAAACTGTTAATGACGAAAAATGACAATTTGTGGAAGTCGCTAAAGGAAGTTGTTAAGATTTTATATTAATTGATCAGGGGAGTGAAGAGACGCATGTGTAGTCCATAAATACAAAGGCCTGCAATTAAAGTTTGTTGGTTTAAAAAAATAAACTGATTGAATATGAATACACCTCTCACAACTACTTATAATTTCATTCCTATTGATAAGAAGCTACCCTTAGAAATTTAAGTCACCATAATATTTCCTTAAATCAAATAGTAATATATAAAAAAATCAGGCACAAAAGGCACGCACTGCTATCTGTCTTCTCTCTGATAAAAAATGTAATTTAATTTGTGATTTTATTTTCGCGCATACTCCATTTTGATCAAAATCATTATATCGCTAAGATTAACAAAATATGTGTTTTTTTTGAAATTTCAATTCAAATTATAGTCTTTAAAATTACGAAAAGTAGGAAAGGAACCGTAATCGTAAGGACATGATTAATAAATGTCATATGTTTCTAGAGGAACTTTTATAACTCCTTCATACATCCGATATTATTATGATCATACTTAAATTCCTTTGTTATGTTATTAATAATGAATTTCCATTATATTTTAGATAAATTTTTACATTTAAAAAAACACTATTTGCCAATTAAATATGATATGATAATCTATTGATATTGATACTATTCGAAAGAAAATAATATATATTGTATTTAAAATTTTTTTTATGCTGAATTAAAATACTATTAAAAATGTATCATTATTAATGTTATTAAATATAATATTGTATTAATAGCCAAAGAATTATAAAAGATAATTAATCGTAAAATTGTTGTTGATACTTCGTTATAGCCTAGATTACCAAAATGGTTGCCAATTTAAATAAGGTATCTTGGACAATGGACATATAACATTTGACAAATTGACGAATTCGTTGACTAACTTTCATAATTTAGCCTAGCCAAGACGATGTATAGGTAAACCTGCATTCACGGCTAGCACGAATTCGCAGCGATTTCGCGCTAACTACGAACGCAGGGTAAGGGAGGTAGGTATAAAAATGTCAAATGTCCAACCAATAAAAGTTATCTTGGCAATCATTCTCCAAAGAAAAAACATTGATAAGTTTTTTTTCTTCTCGATTTATCTCAAAAATCAATATTATTAATTTGAGAACAAAACCTTAATCCTTACTGCAATCTAGAATGATGTTTTATTGAAAAAAAAACCCGCTTGCTATGATTTGTACGCGAAGTTGTTTAATAATACTTTCTCAGCACATAATAATATTTTTTTTATTTTTCTATGCATTATATAAAATAACGGATTTGATTTTTTTTACAACAGGGTTCTTTTCAGTTTTTATTAATGTAGGAAAAGAAATATTTTTAATTATGATCTCTATTCAAATATTGTTTTTGCTATTCCGATGCGAAAACTTTATAAAGATAAACGCGATGGTTGAATTTCTAACGAATCACATTCCGACCTTTTCTTCTTTAGAACCCTTACCAAATTTTGTGCGCTCCCTTTGAAAAAGGAAAAATTTGTGCTGTCAGGCCTGGGCCAATTTTTTTTAAGAAAAACATTACAATATTAATATTACTCCACCAATAAAATCCATAAAATTTTTATAATTACCAAAATACCCTCTTTTTTTTTTTAAAAAAAAAACTTAAAATTTCATCCATGATTACATTTTGATATCTTTTTTTTGGTTGCTTCTTCCTTCTCATTAATTATTCATAAAAAACAAAAAAAAAGTAGTAATATAATATAAATTTTCGTAAAATTTTGTCATTTATATGTTTTTTTTGTTTTGTTTAAAAGATTAGTATACCATAAATATAAGTTTATGTAGATAAGAAAGACCGATAAGTATAGTTTTTACTATGGTTCTTCATATTTTTTAGCTAATTTTTCGTTTTCATCAAATTAGGATAGATAATGAGGGGGGGGGAGGAGGGAATAAGCGCTAAAATGTTAATTAACATCCTTAAAATAAAAGTTCATAATTTATAGCAGGATGAAAAAAAAACAAAGCTAGCTCGAAAAAAGAAGATAATTTTTCTAAAAAATAGATATATATAAAATGAACTCCCCTCCCTTTCCTACCTACTCTTCTTCATTCATTTATTAGTATCATTCTATCGATTACATTACAACAACAACAAAAATATCTCTTAATTAATCTTAATTCGAGGGATAATAATTTTTTTTCCCCTCTCTTACCATCTATTTATCTCAAAATATTTTAGTAATTATATTTCATTTTTTTCCCCATAATTTATTTCTCTTTTTTTTTCTCTACAGATTTTTGGAGATCTAACTCATTCACCCTTGTAATTTGAGGAGCCAACTCCCGAATTTGGCTGGAAAATATACTCTTGATATTAAAAACGACGCGATTCGCGAAATCAAAATGAAGAAAAAAACGAGTTTAAAATTATGGTAAAATCTTTTATGGGATTAGATTCATTAAAATCCGGAAAGATTTCCCCCTCAAATTTCGAATAAAAACCTCAAAGTCAAAACGGAATGATTGGGAAAAAAACTCCTATCATAATATAAAGAAAATTCGAAGGTATCCTTGCACATTCGAGACTGAAAAGAACTAACTTTGTTTTACACAACTCACAAATAACTCGAAACTTATAGAGGACCTTCTATTTTTTACGAAGGAAACTTAAGAAGGAAAAACCGAGGAAAGACATAGGTCATAACTGCTGAGAGACACCGAGATATGAAACCTTTAAAATGGTTCAAGCGAAAAGATTCTACCTACATAGGTTTGTCCCATTCTTTTTATTTTTGTTTTAAAAAGAATCCTTTTGAATTTAAAGTTTTTTATATATTTTTGAGCCAGATATTTTACGATTATAACTCGCAATGTATACAAATGTGTGTTGAACGGCTCTTTTTTTGAGTCCATTTTAAAAAAAATGGCTAACTCAATATTTTATCCAGAAAACATTACGCGTGCCTAAAGATTTTGTTCATGGAAGGCACACAAAAGTCTAGACATACGTTAGCAAAACTTCGAGGCCTAGGGGATATTTTTCTGGCTAATATTGAGTTGACCGTTTTTAAAAATCGGCTCAAAACGAGAACAAATATAATAAATAAATACGAATTTTCTTAAATTTGCTCCTATTAGTGAAGGGCGTTTACTTGAGTCTCTTAATTTGTCCAATTAGGAAATAATATATTAGATATGTTCGATATGGAATGTCGGCGTGCACTCTTTTAGTCTCCCGCACATAGCGACCTGTTTTTTTAAAATATTTCATCTATCTTCATAAGGGTTCTTTTAATATAATTTTTAAATTAAAATTTCTAGCAGGGCCTTGTTCGGCCAGAAAAAAAAATTGAATTTGAGAGCATATTTTAATTTTGAAAAAATTTTTAAATAAAGGGTAGAATAGATAGAACAATATGTTTCTTACGCCTTTTATGAGTATTGAACATACCTTTAAAACAGACAATTTAAATGATCTATTTAGCGCCATCTAATTTCTAAAATCGAAGATTATAATGATAATTATTTTTTTTTTTTTAAATTAACCGTTTCATTCTTAATTTGATTCTATAAATAATCATTATTTACACATTTTTATTTAAGAGAAAGAAAGAATTATTAGGATTGGCGACTCGTCTTACAACAGATCGTTCAATTACGCAGTAAAAATAACATGCACTCATTATTCGAATGTGGTACTGGGATATGGATTCCATAAGATTTGGAATCTCTCAATTTTAAATCATTTACCAAGCGCCATTTTTGAAATCCAATATAACCGGAAATGCATACCGTCACATGTAAGAGCACCAACCCCTTTAAAATTTCAGGCAATTTCCATCCACATATCTTTTTTTTTGTATTTTGTATTTTATAATTTATAATTTTTCTTCTTTATTTGTTCTAAAGTTCATGGCAAAATTATGTGAATATTAGCAATATGGGTATACTCTACACATGCTAGAATATGCATTTCCAGTTTTAAAGTATCCTTCATTAAATATTTTAAATTGAAAGATCTCCGAATCCCCATGGATTCCGATATGATACATGCATACTATTATTATAATATTATTTCTCAATGCTTGTTTCTGCTTTAAATATGAATTTACTTATTTATCTACGCAATCGCGCATAGCGCGCATATTTAAAATCATGTCATTCTTGTTGGCCTATTCCGAGGCGAGGATTTTTTAACTTTTAAAAGGAAAAGATGCTAGGAGATAAAGGGAGAGAATGGCAGAATCGAAATTTTATTTTAAAAAAAATTTCGTAAATATTAATTAAATATACAAATTTGCCAAAATAAAGTAATCATTAGAAATAACGAACACTTAATTTTTCGCATTTTTATTTCTCATTTCGCAATCTTAGATGTATTTAAAATTATATGACAAGTTTTAAGGGAAGCTGAATTTGTGTTTTTTTTTAAAACTGTTTTTTAAAATTATTACTGAGGTGTGTTTTATATCTCGCACAAATTGAGTGTTTCAAAGTTGTAAGCGCAAATAATGCATTTCAAATTGTATAGTACCAATTGGCTATATTACCCCTTGGCATTAGAAACTGACTATATTACCGCTTGGCATTAGAAACCATTTTAAAAAAACGCAAACTGGTTTGATTTTCTCAATACGTTTTTGATCATTCATTTTGCACGTTCGTTACGACCAGTTCTTTAAGAACTTTTTTTTTTTCGCAATAAAGCCGACGAAACCTTGTTATCCAGCAATAATAAGGGGGGGGGGTACTAAAAATTCTTTCCTAGTTGTTTAATTATATGTAAACCTGTTCGCCGATGGAACTATAGACGGTCGGCGCGTTACTTTTTTTTATTAAAAAGGTACTTGGCAAAGCATAAACGCTCAATTTGTGACCACTATTATAAGGGAAGCTTAATAGTGTTGTTAAACAGCTCGATTTGAACCCATTTTTTAAAAACGGTGAACTCAATAGAAAAATATTACGCAGCTCGAAGACTTCATAGAAAGCACAAAGGTTTTGGCATCTATTAGCGAAATTTATAGGCTCAGACAATATTTTTTTCTGGCTAAAATATTGAGTTAGCCGTTTTTAAAAATCGGCTCGAATCGAGGCGTTTAACAACAAACTAAATTGGCTTTTTGAAAATATATGTAATAATCGATGGACATATAATTATTAGATGATGTATTACAAGCCCCTGGCTTGCGAGCGAGAAAAAAATAATGTAAAATACGTAAAATAATATTTAAAAATAAATAATTACAAATAAAAATTTTTTTACAATAAATGCCAAAAACAATGCTAATTTATTCAAATTAAAAAGAATTAAATTTAAATTAATATAAATTGTTTTTTAAAACAGTTCTACTATTCTTGTTTAAATTATAGGCCACATTTTAAAAAAAAATAAATAAAATGACATTGAAAATACAATTAAATGTCATAAAATAAATAGTTTTTAAGTTGTTTTTTGATAAATAATCGAAGATTCAAATAATTAAAAAAAAAATTATAATAAAAATTAAATACACTGAAGAAATTAAAAAAAAGACCTTATAAAAAGAGAAAAGAATAAAGAAAAACTAATTAAAACTAATGTCTAACCTCACATGACTACTCAGCTATCCTTCCAAACTTTACTACCTTAATTCTTTATCATCGACCTAAAGAATTAAGTCTGAATTTCTATCGGAAAGTTGCCTTTCTATCCATCTCAAAATCTAATTAGGCGGCTTTAATTTTTTTCCCACACATTAATGTCTATCATCTCTTAAATAAAAATCACCTATTAAAGATGTCAATCATCTAATTAACTCGGGGCTGGAAATTTTTGATTAAGAATGACATCTACAAGCGAGTCATATTGAGAGGACTCGGTTCCCTGAATTAAGTGGGCGAATGTTTTAGAGACGCTCGCTCTGGGCTATATGGAGTTATAGAATTTTGGAATGGACAATAGATTTGATTTTGGTAGGAGGATGGCTATATGTTATTAGAAATAAAATAATTAATATTTTTCATTATAAATGATATGATGTTTTAAATAGGATAACATTATTATCACGAGCAAATATTCCATCTTCACTTTCCTGCCCAAAAATTTAATCGAGCAATTTCAACGTATCGCCAACGCCTACTTTTTGGGACTCTTAATTTTACAAGTTTTAAATATAATAATAATGCTGTCAATTTTAGATTGTACCGATACAGCTTCTATCAGGTCAATTTGAATTATTCAGGGACTTCACATTCTCTTAAGCCAATGATATTACGCCTTCAAAAACTTTACCCTCTATCTACCTCTACAATTTACTCCCTCCCCGATCCCCCTTAATTAAAGTTCTTAGGGGCTATTCCAATTTTAAAAGAATATTTATTAAATATGGTTCGGAAAATTATATGATATCGGCATTAGTGATCTGCATCGGGCCTAATATTTCAAGCCCGGCCCGGCCCGAACCCGAAATTTATTTTAAAAAAATTTACCGGCCCGGCCAGGCCCGAATTTATTTAAATATAGAAATTAATTTTTATCAGAGTTGTTAAAAGATACTTTTTAAATGGATCTAGATACAGATACATCGTCTAAAATAATATCTAGATACCGATATTTTAATCAAAAATCTATCTAGATACAGATACCACATTTTTATATCTAGATACAGGATCTAGATACAAGTATCTAGATCCTTTAACAACTCTGATTTTTATAATTACTTAAAATAAAAGACATATGTTATATAGCGTTTAGTTTCAATAAATTAAATCAAAAATTTTTATTTTACTTAAAAAATTTAATATAAATTTGATAAATTTAGATATATTTAATAAAATTTCCAAGGTCCGACGCGACCCCTTCCCCCTCCATCACCACCAAGCTGTCATCGTTTTAAGGTGTGCTAAAAAGCACTGAATTTGTTTAAAATGTAAATTATTTTATCCTATGCCTGAAATTTTTTTTCAAACTTTGGTAATCGATGGCTTTGCCGATATTAAATATTGGGTCAGGGCCAATATTTGCCATTTTAAAAAAACGGATCCGGCCGATATTTTCAAAACCGATCTGACATTCTCATTGCTTTTAGTATTTTATGATTGTGTCAATGCATCAATACTAAACAGGTGATTTCATTAAAATGAATTAAGAAGTGCCATATGATATATTGAAGTCCGCCATAAAATGCCTTTTAAAAGGGGGGGGGGTGTCTACTACAGCTGACTTCAATCAATGTACGCGCGCCGTTATGATAAATAACCTTAGTCTAGGCTAGTTTTAATGTTAAAAGAAATAATTGAATTGTAAATATATCTTAAAATATTAATTTAAAATTTAAAAAAAAAACATTTATGGATGTATGAACCTTGAACTTAAAAATCTCCAATAAAATTTATAAGGAAAATACCCACTCACACTTAGTAGTGCCCCCTTCTCCTAGAAAAATTTTGGGTAGACCTGGGAATATATTATATAACAATTTATTTAGAATTAACAAAAGAATAAATTTAAAGCATTAAAAAAAATTCAATTAGAATAAGAAAATGATCACAAAGAAAAAATAAAATTAGCTACTGTGTAATAATTACTATTTTAATAAAATATTTTATGATTAAAATTATTTACAAAAATGAGTTTATATATATATAAATAAATTTTTTTTTATTATAAATATTTGCTACTAAAAAAAGAATTTAGAAATGTTTAGGGAATCACATTAACTGTAATAAACATTGGCCTTATTTTAAATGAGATGATTAAATTTAGGGGAATAACCAAATATCGCTTTGGTTAAGCGAAATGTTCATAGTTATCTTTTTTTGCATAGATATTCCTTTTTTTTATGACATTAGTTAAATGATAGATGCTAAATAAAAATAATCAAAAAATCGGTGTTGTTTACCGGATCGGTTTTGTTTGAATACCGAAAATATCGGATTGATTAAAAATTTTGAATCGGCACAGCCATATAATTTAGCTCTCCAAATGCAGCTTTAAGAATGAAATTAGCTCATTACCAATACACCAATGGATGAAAAAGTTAGTTGAATCAGAAATGAGCCAAAGATTGATAATGATTGTATAATTAAATATATTCGAATTTATAGGATGTTTAAATAAAAAAAAAATTAAAACGCATTTTCTAGTTGATTCCTCAGATATCTTCATTGACTCCCATAACAACGGTTATCCCATTAGTTTGTGTGCTATCACTCACGGCTCTTAAAGACGGGATCGATGATTTAGTATAAATATCAAATTTTATTTTTTAGAAAATATAAAATCGTTGGCTGTAAAATTCTTTGGTTTCTTCGAGAAAAACAACCAGGTTATTTACTATATCGACATATGGTAACAATAACTGTTTCTATTTGAAACGATTTGAGGAATGAATTCCCTATTTTTGTTTTTCCATGAAGAATTCTTTTTTATTGGTAATTTAATTATTAAAATGTGGTTAAGTTATTTTATTTATAAATCTCCTGTTTTCTTTTTCCCGCGGTATTTATCTCTTTATAGCTTATTAGTTATATTATTTCATCTTCAGAAAATCTTATTTGACTGGCAACTTGTCATAAAACAGAACGAGTACGATATTACTAATTATTATTTAAATATTCTTCATCATAATTGATAAAATAAAGTAAACCATTTAATAGCCTTTCTCGAGGGGACCAGTTATAACGTTAAAAACACAGAGAAAAACTTTGTAGATTTTTATTTCTAACATCTAAGCGATAAAGGCGAATTAATGTTACAAGTTTATTTAGGGTTCAGGACCAAACATTTATTTTTGAAAAAATTCATAAAATTTTTTTTAAGCTTAAAAACTTTTACAAATTTTTATGAAATCGTAGGTTAAATTTTTGAAATTGATATAATTTCCCTAGAATTATGTTTTGGGCATGTTTTTATTTTTATATTTAAAATAGCTTATTTATTCATTTTCATTAATGTTTTGAAAGATGATTTAATTTTTTTTAAACAAATAAAAACCGAACAATTAAAAAAATGGAATTTGATTTGGAGATAGGAAAGAAAGAAATATTTGATTTTAATAAGTTTGTTTTTAAATTTTAATCAAATCAATATTTTGAAATTTTTAAAATTTTCTAGATATGTTTTCAGGACACGTTTTTATTTTTATATAAAAAATGGCTTATTTCTTTTTCTTAGTTTAACGTTTTGAAAGTTTACGAATTATATTTTTGATATTTAGGACACAGCCTTAATTACAAATTTTTTTTTTTTATTACCCATGGCTTGATTAATATTCAGAGACGACACCACAATGATAAGTTAGTGAATAATAGGGAATCATTCGTTTTGCGAAACGGGCAAATTATCGAAGAAAGATGGCGGAAGGTCGAAGTTGGCGACATTCTTAAGCTTACCAACGACCAATTCGTGGCGGTTTTTGATTTTTTTTTATTTATTCCTTATTTATTCCTGAAATGATAATTTTTCTTTTGCATGTGACAGTAATTGACAATCACCCTTCATTTTTAATCAAGTTTGATATTCAGAAAAAAATAATATTTATTTATCATTTTGCACTCCGCAAAATAAACGATAATCAATTTTATTTTTTTAAAAAATACATATTTTTAAATCAAGGCTGACATGTTATTGATAAGTTCTAGCGAACCGAACGGCTTGTGTTATATAGAAACCGCTGAATTGGACGGGTAAATTCATTTAGAAAATTTATTTTTTTATATTAATGATCGATATTTGTTTCATTTAATTAATCAAAATTTCTTTTGTTAAAGAGAAACGAATTTAAAATGTCGCCAAGCTCTACCCGATACCGCGGTATTGGAAGATAATCTCAACGAAATGGAGAATCTCAAAGGTAAATAGACTTTTCGACAAACATTAAAAAAAATCAATATGGTGTTAAATGCGTTTTATTTACTATTTCCTATTTCTCCATAAGTTTAGGTAATATCTATCTCAACCCTATCTCATTCCTTTTTATTACAACTCAATCTTTAATTAGGGATGGGGGGGGGTGCCGTTCTCATTTTTCAAAAGAATCTATATGTTGATGTTGAGGTCCCTTTAAAACAAATCTATATTTTGAGGCTAGAAAGGAAAAAAACCGTTACAATCATCTAATTTATCTAAATATCAACTAGTTTATATTTTGTTTACAAATAGTTAAAATTTTAGATTTTCAGATATCTCTCATCCAATAATATGTTTCCTTGGTTTGCCTTAATTTTTTTTAAAAAAGAAGGAAAATCGAGGTTGATGTAATGACCTCCATTGTTGTTTAAATGATTTACATTTAGTTATCATTAATGATCACATACTAGTTTGACCTTTTTAACTCGAAAACGGGGTTATAAAACGGAAGAAGATCGCATTATCTTATTCGCTTAAATTTAACATTTTATACTTAAATAAAAAATTAATAAAAATGTCACTAACCTTACGTTATATGATTAGTCATCTACATTATTTAACTATATGTATTTTGGGATTGGACCAGGTCCTAAATTTTTATAATTGTTTTTTTTTAAAAAAAAACGCGTGATTTTAAGCCGAAATATTATGCGAACCTCCTAACAATAGGCTCAATAAATTCGAAGGAACAATTACGCTAAAAGGAAAAACGCTTCCCTTGGACAACGATCAAGTTCTATTGCGGGGATGCGTTCTCAGGTTTGAAAAAAACATTATTAATAACAAGGGTATGTGTAGTTCTTGATAATAGGGATCTAAATTTTCCGGGAAACTATTAATTAGGGGAAAATAGGGAAAATTTCTGCGAAACGAAAATATTTCCTTCAGATGGCTATTACCTGAATTGAGCTATTTATTATCGAGAATGCTTAGAAATATACATACAAAAACAAAACCTAATTTTGATTTATAAATCACAAAGAGAAAATATTTTAGTATAATATGAAAGAAATTGTGATTATTTAAGTAAAAATCACATTATAAAAATTGGGGAAACTGGTAAATTTCTGGAAATTATCCACGTGTTACATCTCTGGAAATTTTTCTTGTATTACATCCCTAGTTGATAAACGGCTTGATTTGAACCGATCTTTAAAAACGCCTAACTATAAAAATTAGCACTGGGAGTTTATATTTTTGAACCCTATTTTTAGGAATTATATTTGATTTTCACTAAAATTTAAGCGGACCATTTTTTTATATTAGAATTTTTTACATATGAAATTATTTAATTAAAATTGCTAAATTAAATTAATCGTTTAACTTTTCCTTTTTTGAATGGGAAACCCTGTAATATTCTACTTTTAATTAGAGTTGAGGAGATTTTTGAAGTAACGAATGTAAGGTAGATATCTATAGTCATTAAAAGAACTTTGGGTTTTATAGGGTAAATAGTATTGAGTTAGTTTTATTACATGGGATTTTTACATGGGCTTCAAGCCTTATTGAAGAATAGAAAGTTCAGTCACTCAGACCACCTTTAGTTTTTCTGAACTATATTGTCAGACGCTTTTTTGTCTTTTAATTTAAATTACCTTTATGATTCTTGGAGTAAAGGCAGAGAGAGGGGTGTATACGTAGATAGAGGAAGCTGAAATGGTTTCTCGGGACTCTGACTTTAGAAAATCTTTAGATATTTGGCAGAGAGCAACCTATTCCCCAGGGTCTCCTGTTCATTTTTATTTGTTGATATGCATAGGTAGTCTTAGTTATTTGTATGCCTCACGCAATTTTTTGCTGCGCTAGTCATCACCATTATTTCGCACGCCTTGCTGGTAAAGTTATTAGACATATGTTCTAAAGATAAAACTGATCAGCGCCTAAACAATAATCTCCAATGAAAAATAAAGGGCCTGACACATGATCCTATATCTGAAGCAGGATGCAAGAATCCCGATCTGGATTTAATTTAACCATGGTTCCTTTTTTGTGTACTAAATTATAATATATATTATTTTTAGAGTCTCATGATGCATTTGTTAATATACATTAAATGAAAATAATTAAAGGCTGAGGATGGGAAACAGGGAATTCACAATTTATGTCTGCAGTATTTATCGAGGTTGTTTTCGATCTCTTTCGGCTTAGTATCAAGGTTCAGGGCCAATTTTTTTTGGCTTAATCTCGAGTTAGCAGTTAATTTTGCAACACCTGCTGAGGGCCCCTTCCTCCCAAAGGAAAATTGTTTCTATCTTCTATCCTAGCTCTATTTTATTCAAGAGTGGAGTTAAACCCATCTAATATTTTACTTATCATATAATTTAATTTCCTTTTTTATGACTTTCATTTAAATTGTATCTAAACGTATTTACATATATTTAATTAATACTTACGATCACTTGACCTTTCACGATAAAAATATAGGTCCATTCAAAAATAAATATGAATCGAATAATCAATTATTCATATTCGATTCTTTTAAACGAATTGTATATTTACTATTCGTAGTCTGGGGAAGCCACGACAGATGTTCCTGACTTGAAGTTTATTTTAAAATTAAACTCGGAGAATTATTCACCATCGTTCTAATCGAGCCGATATAATTGTTGGAATTTCTGCCTTCTCCCCAAAAATGGATAGCAAGGGTCGTGATATACCTAATATATGTTTTTTCCCTTTTTAGCAACGGTCCTCAATTTTTCGACGTAAACTTTCAAGTGAATTGTTAACAATTAACACCCACTTAGTTCCATTCAATTTCAATTATCTTCTATTTGGAATTTTGCCCCCATGATTTTTCGACATACTATGGACATAGTGACCGTAGGCCTAAAAAATCGTAATTTATTTGCATGATATTTTAGTGTCTGGAGAAACGCACGAAGAACACTGGTATTCATTTGGAATAGAAACCTTCCTATCACACACCTGGGAGGATAAAACAGAAAGACCAATCGCCTATGCATCCCGTACATTATCCAAAGCATAATTAAATTATTCCACCGTAGAAAAAGAAGCCTTAGCCATAATCTTCCCGGTTGGGAAGACGTTTCACTCTCACAACCGACCATAAACCTTTACTATCGATCTTTGGGGAAAGAGAGAAATTCCAACAACGACATCTGCTTGATTACAACTGTTAGGAGTAATTATCTCCGGGTTCAATTTTGAAATAAACTTCAAGTCAGGAACACATTAATCAAATGTACAAAAGATTCGAATTCGGATATTCGATCGTTTTCTCTTTTGAATAATCAAATTTATTTGTAAAAAGTTAGCTATTTAATATTTGGAGCGTGATATAGCATCGTATAAAAAAGATTGGAAGAATATTTTAAAAGAATACAGAAATAAAAGGATCGTGATACTTTTGTTTTTCCTGTTTTTTCTTTATTTTCTTCAGCTACTTGTTAAATTTGATCACAACTCTTTTTTGAACGCTCTAATTAAAACAATTTTTTTCTCTCTTTTTTTATGGAAGCCTACCCAACCCAACTCCAAAAGTAATTACAAACCAAAAAATAAAATTCATATTTTAAAAAGGAATACCAAATGGTGCTACGGAACCGTTCTGTTCGCCGGTAAGGACACGAAACTGATGCAAAATAGCGGAAAGGACACTTTTAAACGCACATCTATCGATCGTCTCGTTAATGTTCTCATAATCGGGGTTTTCAAAAAAAACAAAAATTAATTTGAATATAAATCATTTTAAAATGGGGGAGAGGGAGAGTAGTTCCGATCAGGGTTCTGTACTCTGTAAAATAGGACAGCATGCCAGGCTCGATTCTTCATTACTCCTAATCATACCGAAAACGAATTATCCGACATTCATTTTCTTTACAAATACGAATAATAAAACTTCGATTCTTTTACGAATACAAAGGAAAATAAGATTTATTTCGATTGAAATTTTAGTTCAAAAAATATTTGAAATTATTCGCAAATATTTATATATTTTTAAAAAAGAAAAACAATTTCCTCACCTATTTAATAAATTTAAAAAATTTTTGTTGTTGTTTACTTTTCAAATTATTTAAAAAATTTTTATTTTCGAATCCAACAATGGCTTTATTATTAGTACGAATAAGGGAATCAATCGATTAGCTTTACTTATAATGCTTCTCTAGGCATCAAATCTAAAATGGCTAATGGCAGGGATAACCGTTACATAATTATTAATATGCTTCTTTTTTTTTAAAAAAAAGATATTCATATTCTTGGTGAGCATATGTTTATTTACTGCCATAGCTCACGGAATTTGGCAAAGCCAAGTTGGAATATACTTCAGGGTCGTCCTACCCTGGGCAAGCTTTATTTCCCCTCAATACGTGGAGGTGGGCATCATAGCCATATCGTCTCTCACTTTCCTGTCCTACCTGATATTGCTAAATACCTTGGTGCCTATATCGCTTTACGTTAGGTTAATTTATTTTATTTTTTTTATAGGAGCAGGAAATTATATTATATTATGCACAACCCTCTGGAACCTGATCAAATCTTATAACCGGATCCCGATTCCCCTCTCACAAAATTTTTAGGAATTGGAACGACAGATCATCGATTCTAACAAAGCCTAGAGACAGATAAATGCTAAGATTATCAAAACTCCTTTTTAATTCCAGATTCTAAACTCTATTTTTAAATCTATTATAATATTATAAAAAATCAAACAGCGTAGAGATGATACGTATAGCTCATAGTTTTTGGATAAACTGGGACGTCAAGATGTACGACACCAAGAGTGGAACTGCTGCGAAAGCTAGAACCACAACCCTCAACGAAGAATTGGGACAGATTCAATATATATTTTCTGACAAAACGGGAACACTTACTCAAGTTATAAAAAAAGATTAGGGTGCACATTATATTAATTTCGGATCGGGTTTGGCCAATATCGACAGATATAGGATCACCTTAATTCTAAAGAAAATGAATAATAAAATATAAATAAATCGACCTCAAGATCTTATAATATTATAATAAATCGAATAGGAAGTAAAGTAATGTATTTAAGGTGTTTCCAGTTCAATTTTCATTTATTTTTTTTAGGGATAGTATTTCGGTCAGAATTCTCTTACCTATAAAATCTTGATTCATTACTCATTCTTGATTTATTTTTTTACAAACACCTTATATAGAATATAATGTGTTTCAAAAAATGTTCCGTTCTTGGACAACTCTATGGATACGTTCAAGACGACAAAGGAAATATCCTCTCTCCTAGCGAAGTAAACATTGGGAGGGGAGGGCGGATGTAACAAAACATTATTTTTTTAAAATTCAAATTCGGTTAAAAAAAAATCCGAAATTTGCCTTTATTTAATAAAATATGATTATTATATAAAATTATTAGTTATGTGCTCCCACGTCAAAATTAAGCTGGAATAATAGTGGAAGTGATACAGCACAATTTAAAATCGGGTTATATTTAATAAAAAAAATATTTTACTGAAATGTAACCTTTAATTCTAGTCATGTATGATTTAAGAATTAATATTAAATTGATCTCATTAAAAGATTCTGAAATTCGAGCAACTGTTAAATTGTATCATCTCATCCACCATGATTCCAATCCTAGCTATAGCATTTACTAATCTCACATTTATATTAAATTAAAATCTTTTTTCCCAACTTTTTAAAGACTCACAGGCTCCTTATTTATCTGTCCAGGCCTTAAATAATTATTTGAATTTAAAAAATCCGGGCTCAGAAAGTGCGCAGATCTTTGAAATAATTTATTACAATATACAAGTTTTCTTACTATATCTTGTATCAAATGATGACAGAAAGATAAGAGCGTGGACTTCAGTCAAAATCCTTACTACGAACCCAAATTCAAATTTTACGACCAAAGATTAGTCGATCACATCGCGAACGGGGACCCTCACGCGATTCGGCTTTTCACGCTGCTAGCCTTATGTCATACCGTAATGCCAGGCGAAAAGAATGGTACTATATTGCTGATTAAATGTATAAATGGGATATATCGCCAGGAAGGAAGTAAATGAACGAAAGGGAAGAATTAATAGACACTAAGCCAGTAGTTTTATCAGATAATGGATCCTCTGGTGGAACTAATTATAGTTGTCATTTAGATTAAAGTTAAAGACAATATAATTTCTGGCGTTAGGTAGATTTTATTCATATTTGTTTAATCTAAAATTTGTTCTTACCTTGAAACCTTGATTACCCAAATAATTATTTGATTTATTTACTATATTTTTTTAAAAATCTATATTTTCCATAGTTTATAGTAAATGATTAAATCATATAGTAATTTAATTATTGTTGAAAAAAAATATATGAAATAAGGTCAATTGGAGTATCTAGCACAGTCACCAGATGAAGGCGCCTTAGTTTCAGCCGCTAGAAATTTTGGCATCGTTTTTAAGGTATCTCCCATTATATATTTAAAATTCTTGGAATACGAACTTTATACACTTCTTTAAATACCTTTGGCGTAGTATACAAAATTTGCGGTAAAGAGAATTACAGCATATTTTGTATGCTTCGCCGCTAATTCGCGCTAACTGTGAATGCAGGGTTAGGCAGCGCGACAATGCCACGCTATTTTACCGGCTATTTATTTGTCCGAAGCATAATACGATCATTGATTTCGTTAAATTGTTCGAATTTTTACGATAAATATATCCCATTTTCCAATATCTTTAAAAGGTAGCAACGAACTATATATTTTTTTAAAAATTTTTTACGACGGGCCGTTATTCAAGTCTAGAACTCCTAAAACCATAACTATAGAAAGAAATGGAAAGGAAATTATTTACCAGCTTTTAGCCATATTCGATTTCAACAACGTTCGCAAACGCATGTCTGTAAGATTTATTATTCTCAACTCAACCCCCCCCCCCCCCCCTTTATACTTTTAATATGATTATAAATTTTATATATTAAAAAATAGGACCTTCTAGTGTGAATAAATCACCTAACTTTGGCCAACTTCAATAAGGCATGTAATCAAGCCAACCTAAAAAAAAGACTTAATATTTAAATTTAGTCCTTAATTTTTAAATTAGTGTTGTTGAATAGCTCGATTTGAGTCGATTTTAAAAAATACGGCTAACTCAATATTTTATCCAGAAAAATATTACTTCAAGCCTGAAAATTTTACTCATATATGGCACAGAGGTTTATGTATCTATTAGCGAAATTTCGAGCCTTGGATAATATTTTTTCCGGCTAATATATTGAGTTAACGTTTTGAACGGTTCAAATTGACCCGTTCGACAAAAAGATTGAAACGGATTTTTTTTTCAGGATACAATTCTGACTACTACCTTTTGGTAACACTAAGTCTTTCAAAAGTTTTAATGTTTTAAAAAATTTAAGAATATTGTATAATATACGAAGTATTAAGTTTATTTTAGTTATTTTTTTTTCTAGAAAATTTTTTTTTAAAACTCTTGTTTGGCGAAAATAAATCGCAAAATTATATTTTCTAAAAAGAAAACCCGATCAAATTTCCCGGTCAGAATCTTAGGGGATTGAATTAAAAAAAAAATTTCTTGGAATGATCCAGAATTTTAAAAAAAGACCCTTTACATGTTCCTAAAATTATCTAAAATTTTTATTCTTTTTTTAATAATTTTTTTTTGGTTTTCGATTTCTTGTAAAGTCTAAAATAGTTTTAACGAAGATTATTTTATTTTATTTAAAAAAATTTTTTTTTATGTAGGTGATAGTCAAAAAGGAGGGGAAAATAACTTTGTATTGCAAGGGAGCGGATTCGGTTATAATTGAACGTTTAGACCCTAGCGATGTTCAATCTATTATTTCCACAACCTTGGATCATTTAACTGTAAATTTTTTTTTCTTTCCCATTTATTTTACTCCATTTTATTTATAGTTTATTTAGTAACGTCGTCTGAAGTGATTATTATTTATTAGTCTAAATAAATATAAGGTCTAATTGGGTTAAAAATCTGGATTTATCTATATATTTTTTAAAAAAACACGGATCGAATCAAACACTTTAATGGCAATTATGATTAATGTAATATAAATGATAAATTAACAGAAATTCGCGGTTGAAGGTCTGAGAACGCTGTGCCTCGCATATAAAGACATTAATCCTTCCATATATAGGACATGGGAGAAGAAATATGAAAAAACTAAGTAATTATTCATATTTTTTAAATTGACATTTTTTAGTATAGATTTCGGAAACTACACAGCTCAATCTTAGCAGGGCTGACAAGTCGGTCAATTGGCAGGTCAAATTCAGTCAGATTGGTCAATTGACCGAAGGAGTATAGTCAAATGCTCCAAATAATCTGAAAAAAAACAATTAAAAATATGTGTTAAAAAGTAAAAACGATATAAATACGTAAAATGCTGCTTATTAAGTGAATTACCAATATCAGGAGGGGCAACTTACTAAGAATGAGTTAAATGAATCATTTAATATAATTATACAAGAATTAAGTATTTTACAAGGTTATGATGATCAAAATATTAAGTGATATCATAAATTTCAGAAGTAAAAGCAGCATATTTTATTGCATATGTGGAAAGCAATAACTTCCATTAGAAACAATTATTTTTCGGCCTCAGGTTTGTGAAATAAGCGTTGCCCACATTCCCCATTAAGAGAAGTCTCATTTTACTTACAATTCCTTGTTGGACTTCTTCAGAAAAAAATTGATCGACTTGGGAATATTTATACGAAGAACAGAAATCGTGAAGACCTCGAAAACAGGAAAATTGATTAAAAATATTAAAGAAAATGATAATACTGAAAATATGAATTAGAACAAGACTCTGTCATGGGGAACGAAATATTATTTAGAGAATGACAATGAATTTTTATTATCAAATTAATATTACAAATTCATATACAAAGTAAAGTTAATATTGTCTTAAAAAAAACATTTGTTTGAATTTGACAATATTTGACCATTCAAATATCGTTCAATTGACCGAATCGTATTTGAGGTCAAATACACAACCCTGATTTACAGGCACACGCAGAATGAAATCCGCTGAGCATTGATGCGTGATTAGATGATTTATCCCATTTTTTTGAAATTGAGCTATATTTTCAAAGAAAAAAAACCGTGATATTTTTTTTAGACCGGAAATTAGAGTAAACCGGCTAAAAAATAGAGCCATTACTTAACTATACCTAGCACGATAGATCTTGAAATGCTGAACGAAATAATGTTTTCAAAAATCTCTAGGGTTCATTTAAAAAAAATGAGAAGGGATATTATATGAAATTTGTAAATGTTTTATAGCGCCTGCCTAACAGATCGCGAGGCAAGACTCGACCTGCTTTACGAAGAAATGGAAAAAGATTTGCATCTCATAGGAGCGACCGCGGTAGAAGATAAATTGCAAGACGGGGTTCCGGAAACCATAGCTAACTTGCTCAGGGCTGGTATTAGGATATGGGTTTTGACGGGAGATAAACAAGGTTTCCCAATTTTTCTTCATTTTTTTTCTCCCGGGGGATTGTTATTTTCGTGATAAAAGAGAAAATAAGAAGGAAGTAACTTATTCCTTTATATATATTTTTTAAAATACAACCTATAGAAACGGCCATAAACATAGGTTACTCCTGCCAACTCCTCAATGACGATGTGGAGGAAATATACGTGATAGATGGGCAACACTTCGAAGAGGTCGAGCGGGAACTCTCCTGCGTGCGCAAAACAGCCTCTGTAGCCTCTCTCATTTCCGCCACTCCTTCCTCTGCCTCCTCTATCAACCATCCCAGGGATAAATCCGTGGCGTCATCTCAAAACAGTAGTAAAAAGCAGGAAAAAAAGGGCTTCTGGAGTAGGTTAGGCGCTTACATCTCGCCCTCCACGTCTTTGCCTGCTGGCAAAGGAGGCAAGTATTTAGAAGCAGTGGGCAACGGGACAAGTGACCATATTATGAGGAGTAGCTACGATCAATGGGAGGAATGGAATGATAGGTTTTTTTTATCAATTACATTTACAATGGTTAGCTACATATTATAGTAACATTATTAAAATTAATTAGTGAAACTCAGAAAACCGAAAACTGTGTTCCATAAAGAACACCTTTCCCGATATAGGACTGGTGAGACATGACCACTAACTTCCCTTTTTCTATACTAAAAAAACGACAATAATTAACTATAAAAAAGCCACGAACAAGAATAAAAATTTGACTTTAAATACTATATTTGAAAAACGAAAACCTTTTTCTTTTTTTTTAGAATACGTCGGAACTTTTATTGGCTTATAGCTCCCCCTTCTTACAACTACAATTATAATTACACTAACCAAGCTACCCAAATTGATAATGCTATTAAAGCTCCAATCAATATGGCAGCTTCGAAAGCCACATTAAATGATCCAAGTTGCCCAACTATTTCCATTACCACCGCAGTCGCCGCAATCGATAGTGAAATGACCTTGGCTCCCATTCGCGGGCGAGAGAAATTTCAAACGCGCTCTGCAGCTTATGCTACCTCTACACATCCTACCGTTGTCGGAGCCAAGAAGAAAGTGCTAAAATAATTTTTCTCTGATACATATTACATTTATATATCGTAAATAATATAAAATTACTATTTTTTAATAATAATACTAAAAATATATATAAATTTTATAAAACATTAATTTTATGATTTTAATCAACTTATTTTGATAAACCTTAAGTAAAAGTAACTGTTGAAACATATATCTAAGCTGGTTTTTATAAAATGTTTATTATGAGATAATAAATTTAATTTCTTTACATTTAATAATGGGCCTTTTTAAATTAAATAACAATTTAATTAAAAAACATAATTTGCTAAGTATAAATGAAACGATATGATGTTATTAGGATGCCAAAAATATTACGATATATAACCATAATTTTCCATCAACTAAAATGATACATTAAGTAAAAGGAACTGCAGAAATAAATATCTTAGCTGGTTTAAAATGATTTTTATGATTATAAGCTAATAAAATAAATTTAATTTCTTTACATTTAATAATCTCTTTAAATTAAATAACTATTTCATTCAAAAAAAATACATAACTGTTTTGGAGAATATACTGCCAATTATAAATGAACCCATATGATTTTATTAGGATGCCAAAAATAATACGTTGGAATAACTAATTTTCAACCAACTAAAACGATACATTAAGTAAAAGGAACTGTCAAAACAAATATCTAAGCTGGGTTATAACGAGCCTTTTTATAATAAATAACTATTTCATTAAAAAAAAATACATAACTGTGGAAAACATAATCTTTTTTAACTATAAATGAACCTATATGATGTTATTAGGATGCCAAAAATAATACGATAAAATAACCATAATTTTCATCTAACTAAAACGTTACAATGGATAATTTGAATTTATTAAACAATATAATAGATTTGATTCTTAAACGAATGCTGTAAACATTACTTTAAAACGCACTACTCGTTACGTTTGTATAAAGGAACGCGTTACCATTACTCGTTACCCTGTGAAACAAGTAGCGCGTTACTCGCTATTTAAAAAAACAACTAAATATTATATATAAATTATTTTTACGTTCATATGTTTTTTAAAAATATAGTTGAAATATTTGAATTAGGTGCACAATCTACACCTATAAAATGAGACTTAAACCCTTAATTTTCCTTATTGGTGTACCCAGGGTAGAGTTAAATTATCTTTATCCGAAGAATTAATTAAATTATAATATTAAATTATAAGTTAATATACCTTGATTTTGAATTATTAAAAGATATTTAAATACAAAATAAAGATATTATAATATCATTTTGTCAATTGTAGTATTATATTATTTTTTTTTTGGTGTATAAAACTATTTGTTTTTATAAGAATTATAGATAATTTCTTAAAATGAACATAAAAATCGTAAATATAAAAGTTAGCATATAAAATATATAAATGCCAATTAATAAGAACCACTGTTAAAATTATAAAACTTGAAATAAATCACAATTATATAAAGTCATTAATTTTTGCTATATTTTATTGATTGAGATCCAAGTTCCCTTTTAGCGTCAACGTTATAATAAAATACAACGAATGAATGAAATCAATTGCAATATATGCTAAACAACACCTAGTATAAATAAAATAATTATAAATATAAATCCATATTTAACAATAAATTATAAGTGCACAATATAATAATAATTAATAAATATATTTCATTAATATGTCAATTTAAAAAATAATCACATTTGTTAGTATATCTTTTAAGGATAAATAATAATATATTTAAATAATATAAATAAATATATAGTAAATTAATATAATAAATTGAGCATATGATTTAAAAGAATTATGAGTTTTCATAGTTTGCCCTTCAGTTTTTCTTCTTCCATCTGAATATTCCTCTCTTGTTCCTAATTGCTTTTCTCATCGCCGATTCTGTGATTAGGGTTTGGTTCTTTTGTTGACTTCCATCTGAATATCCCTCTCTTGTTCTTAATTGCTCTTCTCATCGCCGATTCTGTGATTAGGGGTTATCAGTCATTGAGAATATGAAGCTGAGGTAATTGGATTTTATTATATTGAGGTCTAATCTTTGGCGTAGGTAGTAACCCTCGTTGGGATCTTCGGTCCTAGAGATCCATTTCCCCAGCTCTTTAAAGAAGGCCAGGGCATGAGAGCCGAACGACGTTAGAGTCGTGGCGATTAGTGGTAGGAATGTGTAATTGGCCGGAAGTGATGGCGAATACTTAGCGAGTTTATTCGTCTCGGCGTCTACTAGAGCATCTCTATTTATATTGGAAGGGGCAAGGGGATCGATGCATGAGAAATCCCAGGTTAGGAATTCCCCCCTCTTCCAAGGGATCATGGTAGAGCCATCGGGACGCTTACCATCAGAATTGTAGAGTCCAGTAGGTTCGAGGGTTGATGGGATACCGGCAGATTTTAGGGCCCTGGCAATAGTATCATTGCATTTTGAATGTCTAATGAATCTGCCTCTACAGCGTCTGCAGTGCAAAGAGTGTCGGCATTTGTATTTGACCGACGTTTGACAAAGGATACATTGATAGGGTATTACCATATCACAATTAAATCTAAGACCGATGGCGTGACGTAGCTCATCATTGCTTAGGAGCTGGTCAAGATTTCGTGATGGGAAAACCTCGAGAAATTTTTACTCACTGTCTGCGGAAATGGAGAAGCAGAAGAGTAGAGAATGGTCCTCGAGTTGGCAAGCAACAAGTCAGGATGTTTTTGTGAGTGTGTGGCAAGGGCCTTGAAATTTGCTGGCATCTCTTCAACCCTCGAGCCCACTGGCCTTTACAATTTCGATGGTAAACGGCCTGATGGATCTACCATGATCCCTTAGGGGGAAATTCCTAACCTGGGATTTCTCATGCATTGATCCTCTTGCCCCTTCCAATATAAATAGAGATGCTCTACTGGACGCCGAGGCGAATAAATTCGCTAAATATTCGTCATCGCTACTTGCCAAATATGCATTTCCATCATTAATCGCCACGACTTTAACATCGTTCGACTCTCAAGCCCTGGCCTTTGTTAAAAAGCTAGGGCATCGGATTTCTGCTAGAACCGAGGATCCCTACGAGAGATAATACCTACGTCAGAAGTTGGCTCTAAACCTAATAAAGTGCAATCATCTCAGCTTTATACTTTCAATGACCGAAACCCCCTGATTGAACATCCTTTATATACCTTGATAGATCCAATATTAATTTAATTAACAACCTTGGCTCTAAATGTAATAAACAAAATAGAAATGAAGAACTTTGGTGGTTGATCTGAATTAAAAACTTGGCTTAAATTATTTATAAAATTTAAAAATATAGAGTATATAAAAAATATTTTTCAAGAAAAAGTAACGAGTTATGTTTTGCATTACCTTTGCTCAAAAAAAAACGCGTTACTCGTTATTTTTTGAGGCAAGTAACGAATGCCGTTCGCCGTTAGTAATGTCGTTACTTTAATCGACCTTACTTTACAGCATTATTTTAAATGAATCGAATAATTCATTATCCGTAATTTTACAAATCAAATAATAATAGAAAATTATATTATTTGTTTGAACACGGATATTAAATTAGTCGAATTGTTAAACACAGAATTATAATTTTGAATTATTTAATTTCGCTTTTTTTGCCGCCACTGCTCACGCGATTTTCATGCCCTTTGTTTAAGCTTCTACGCAAGCAATTCGCGATTGTATTCGCAAAAGTAAAAAAAAAATAAAATTGTGTAAAGGATAGCTAGTGGCAAAGCAAAACAATCACGATTTATTTTGCCCAAGGAAAAATTTGGTGTAAAATTAGGGCTGTCCCCATTCCCAAATTTATCTCCTATCCGACTTGATATTCATATATAACCCGATCCGATGTCTATATTAATTTTTATATACCATCCTTCTTCAAATCGATATTACAATAAATTCAATATTTCCTATGCTACAAAAAAAGCTATCTGTTAAACAATCGACAAAACAAGAAAAAAAAACATTTTTAAAAATTTTCCGTTTCTTATGGCCAAGGAGGGATATTTGGTGCATTACCACGAATGATTAAGTTTAATTTAATTGGTTTTTAAATCCCCAAAAAGTTAATCGTCTCATATAAAGTATGGAGATGGACAATGTTGATGGATGGCTGATTATAAATAGTTAAATCTTTTAAATCCTCTTTTCTTTTTGCAAAAACGAAAATAAAATAATATTTCATTTTTAGCAACTTCTTATTTTTTAAAAAATTTTTTTTACAAAATAAATTTAATTTTAAGTTACTATTATTTATTTTTTTAAAAATATTATTAGGAAATTATGTGAAATAAAAGAAAATTATATTTTAGTATTTTTTAGGGCGTTGCCGATCCACATATTTTTCACCGATCCGATCCGATATTTTCCGATATTGGTTTAAACCCGATCCGATACGGATACAGATCCGATATCTATATTGATTTTTCACCCCCCCCCCCTTCGAACCAAATATAATTAAGAAACCAATATTTTTTATGCAATTAATTTATTTTTATTTCTAAAATAATTTTAAAAAGTGTACGGATATTGGTATTGGTATTATTAAATGAATTTTTCATTATCCCTCTCCGTGATATTAAAATTCCGCAGATAACGCATTTTGCAAAATTATCTTTGTCCTTTGTAAAATATTTCCATAATTCAGATAACATATTTAAAAAAAAATTCTTTTATATTAAAGTATAAATAATAAAATGGCATTATTTAAAAAGATTTAAAATTAATAATTGGGTGTTCCTTTCCATTTTTATAAAAAAAAACTTTTAAAATACTATAAATCTATTTTAAAAAATAAATAAAATTTAAGAGGTGTTGTGCATTTGCATTGTTTAAAAATATTATTTAGAAAATATTATTAATGAAAAATAAATATACATAAAATAACAAAAAAAGAAAAGTAAAAAGATCGGATCGGATCGGTTTTTATAGGTAAAACTCTAAATACCCGTGCCGATCCGATCCGATATTTAGTATCGGCACAGCCCTAGTATTTTTATTTGTTTTAGAAAAAAAAATAATTTCTTGGGTTCTAATCCATTAGCTGGCCTCCTAAACAGAAAAAATACAACTTATTATTTTAAAATATAATTATGTTTAGTTTTTTTTTTGAGAAACTTTATATCATAATATTAAAAATAAATACTAAAAACAATTATAATATCGGTTCGGTTTTTTAAAAAATATCGGCTCGAGTCTATAATATCGGCGGGCACAGCCATAGTACGAATACAATCGCGCTAAATTGGTTGTTAAGGCATATACTATGACTGCAACATTTAAAAGAAAAATTAATAACTAGTATTTTTTTTTAGAATAAAATGCAACTAGATTAGGCATTCAAAGAAATTTTGTTTTTTTAAAAAAAAAAATTGAATAAATTGGGTGAATAAACTTTTAAGAAGAATTTTAAGGCAACTTAACTCTTTATAAAATTATCCGTATTCATTTTTAAGGGTTAATTAAAAATATCAAATGAATTACCTTTTTTATTAATTATAAAGTTGATGACTCAAACTAGGACCACTAGCAATCCATTTTTTTGGCATTCAAACTAAAATAGCGTCATTTTTAGAATATTATCCTGCATTCACAATTATAGGCTAACTAACTGGAATGCAAGGTTAGTGCCGTTCGAGGTAGAAAGAAATTGGTGCGTATCGTGTCATTTAAAATTAAGGATAATTTTAGATTAAAATGTGGCTATCAAAATTTTATTTTTCTTTAAAATACTTATTTTAATGTATATCTCAACTGATACGAATATCTGAAGAAAGGTGGAAATGGGAATACTATGAGTGGACCTACCGGCTTACGACAGCCCGAGATAGAGGGCATGCGAATAGACGTTAGCGTTACTCCGCCTCATTCGGATACCTCCCTTTACCATCGATTCAACCAAAATAACAATAATAACGATATAATCGATCACCCACCACGCAAAGTAGTGATATTTATTGATTACAAAGAAAGAAAGAAAGAAAGAAAAGAAAATGAAGGAGATTCAGTGAAAACGAAGGAATTAAAATTTTTTAAAAAAGGAATGGGTGTATTTCCTAATTTTGATTTTAATTTCGATTTTAATTTCGATTTATAGAACAAAATTTTACTACTTTATAAATCTCCTTTATTATGATTAAAAAATTTATTTGTTCCCTAGCCAAACCTCAATCACAATGCCGACCCTTCTAACAACGGCGGTGCCTTAAGACCGGAAAACAATAGCACAGGGGCAGTCGGAGGTCGAAAATCGCCTGTAAGCCCTTACGAATCTCGCTTAAGATATCCCGCCCGCTCCTCTCCCGTCCCACCCGCTAATCAATCAATTCCCGAAGAACGCTCCGTTTTTAATTACGATTCTCCTTTCCTTCCAACACCGAGCTCTCCACCTTACTCCTCCAAGGAAGAGGAGTCCATTAAGGATGAAGACATATCAGTCAGAGATGGAAGTGGGAGATTGGATAGCCCGCCATCTGTCATAAATCAGGGCCATAGTTACCAAAAACCTGCCATTTTCGCTCTAGTCATAAGCGGCCATAGTTTGGTAAAATCAATTTTAAATTAGACCTTATACCATTTTCTTTTATACTACTTGTGGATATATCAAACTCAAAAAATTTTAATAGAAAAAATGAAAAAGGCCTACATATTTTGCGTTATTCCTTCACGCAATCTCATTTTGGGCCGATGTATGATAATAACAAGACTGACGATAAATGTGTATCCAATATACAGATCAGCTGGTTGCACACATTTTACATTCTCATATAAACAATTTAAATGGCGTATCACCAGCTGATTTGCTTATCAACGACACTTCATAATACATTTTAATGAATGAATCGTCAATCTAGGCAAGTATTATATGCCATTGGTTTGGATAGGTGACCACCAGTTTAGATAATACAAAAAAAAATATTTGACTTAGTAAAATAAGAATTCAAATATAATCCTTGCATTTTAGAAAAAAAGAATAAGATAATGAATTCAAATAAATTAATTAAATTTTTTTTTTCGCTTATAAAAGAAATCACATATGTAGCGTTCAAACCCTTATGTTTTGTTGGATTAAAGATAATAAGGTTGGAAAGAGTTCGGGTTCATAAAACAGATTTATCCATATTGGGTTTCAACCTCTTGATTATATTATTTCGAAAAATTAATTAAAATTGGTTGTTATTTTTCTGGGATATGAAACCGAACCTTCAGAGCCGTCGTGTTTTGGATGAACCAAGACCCACTCTTTATAAAAGTTGAGCTATTACATAGAGTTTTAGTATGGGTGTATCTTCACATTTTAGTCTGGGAAATTAATTTTCAACAGAAATTTTAACAATGTTTAATTTTTGCTCACTTAAGGTTCACGCTCTAGATCCACGACTGGAGGCCGAATTTATAGAGTTAGGCAGCGCTGCTATGGCCGTGATATGTTGTCGCGTCACGCCCCTTCAAAAGGCTATGGTAGTCGACGTAGTGCGAAGGCGTAAGCAAGTCACCACGCTGGCCATAGGCGACGGGGCAAACGATGTCAGCATGATTAGGACGGCCAATATAGGTGATAAATAACTTGTAAACGAGAGAGAGAGAGAGGAATGAGAGCAGAAAATGAAGTAATAAAATGGTATTGTGGCTATTTATTATCATTTTGGTATTTTAACCAATTGCCTGCCTACACCGAATATCTTGCTTTCTCCGAGGAGGCTAAACATATTCGTTGTAAATAATTCTATGTGTTAAATATTTATATAGAAGGTATTAATTTAAGGAGGGAAAAAAATAAGAATAACAGATAAGGTAACAAATAACTCAAAGTATCCATTTCAAAAAATAAAGTGTAATAGACACAAAAAAACATTATATTCTTTTGTTTTAAACAAATTAGTCATATGTGATATCTGCCATTTAAAATTTTCCTAATATTTGTGGGCGATTCCATATCAAAGCGACCATTGATATGAACGATACCCTATTTTAAATTAATAAAACTTCGTGTGTTGGTTATATAATATGTTGTAAAATATATATAAATCAATTTTAAAAAAAAACATCTAATCTATTTGAGTTAGGGCTTTAAAACATTTGATAATTGTTTAAGTTAAACTCTCTACAATAACCCATAATGCGAAATTTCCTTCGTTTTCAAATGTCATTGTCGCCAAATTGATTTTTCATGAAAATGATCCCTATACTATATGGAAGAGTTGGACTGGGTTTTTAAATCTAGAATACTAAGAGTGAATCAAGTTGGTTCCTCTTATTTCCGTGCTATTATTTTCAGAATTGTTTTTATTTTTTTTAATCGTTGTTCTACTATATGTTAGCTAGAGATTCACGAATCTATTTACAACGGCAGCAGCATATTATTGATTGAAAATGTTTGCTGGATCGTTTTCTTCTTCTCCCGAAATTGGTTATTGTTATGGAGTCTTCTTAAAGTAACAAGGAACGAAGGAAGATACCATTCCACACATTTTATTGACGAAAATACTATTCTAAATTATCAGCAGTTCAATCTTATATCTTCGATATTGCAAACCAATGATCCATTAGCGGAAATTTTACTCGATGAGACGATTTTTTTTTAAACATAAATTACAGAAACAAAAATCAGGCATAAAATGTCATTTTAATTAAATATATTTTTTTATAAGTACATTTTAAAGATCATATAAAAAAAACAATTTACCACTATAAAGATATAATATATATATAAAATATATGAATTAATTTTTTTTTTTAAATTAGGTAATAAACCGGTTTACTTGCATTGCTATGAAACCATGAATAGAAATTTAATTACTTTGATGAATAGCCATCGTAATGGCTTTTAAATGGAAGTTTTCATTATGATCGCCACTTATTTGGTTTAATTTTATAATGTGATATATTTAAGGATGTTTATTTATTTTCAAGATTTTTGTAACTAATTTCTGTTGGAATGTATGTGTAATCTCAGGCAACTGGAAGACCTTAAGACCAAGGTAATAGGTTTATACCATCGGGTTTTATTGCGAGCATAAATGATTGGGTTTAGGGTATTTGGAATTTTAACCTTTTTAAGAGCTCTTGAGATTAAGTTATTAATATTTCTATGCCTTGGGAGGGGAATATCTGCAATGTAAGGTTGGAGATGGTAAGGAACAATTAATGGAAATGAAGCTAGATACGAGACGAAGCCAAATATCTATACGAAGTTCTTTATTTGTAAACCAAAATTTTTAGCTGATAGTCATTCGTAACCCGATATAGAATTTAGAATAGCTGGATTTTCTAATGAATCACTCGATAAGTAGAAATCAACTGAGTGAGAAACTAGAGGAGTATCTCAGGCTTTCTGAAGGTTTGATGTGGGTCTGCTAATGCCAGGTTGACAATTATTTACTCAGGTGTGAATAGCGCTTTCTAGATCAAGATAATGACTGGTAGGTATTAAACTTGAATCACTTAATCTCGAGGAGATAAAAACAACAAGAGAGTGGAGGGATGGGGGACGAAAACCAATCTCGCCATTTTTGCATGGAAGAGAGGGCTTTGTAAAAAATTTAAAAAAAAATATGTTATTTTGTTTTATAATACTCAATTTGACAAATTATAAAAATGATTGTGGATATTTGCAAAGAAAAATATTGGTTGAATATTTTCCATAAGAATTGTAATAATAATTTTAAAATAAAAAAAACAGAACAAAAACAAAGTTTTGTTTTTTTCGTTTGGGGTTTTCTCATCCCTAAATTATAAACATAATTTTCTTGTATAATAAGGAAAAATTAAGTTAGAACAATTGTGTTTCTGAGTCCTACATCGGTTTTATTTTTCAGGTTCGATCTGGTCCAAAAGTTAAAATTCGACCGAGTCCGAGAAAATGTCGATATGACCGATTTAATTTCGATGAGTTAGAATCGCATATAGCATTTTAAAAAAATTCTTCAAATGTAAAAAAAACAGGTGTAGGCATAAGCGGGCTCGAAGGTAGGCAAGCCGTGTTGGCGGCGGATTTCGCCATAGCTCAGTTCCGATTTCTCGAGAGACTTATATTGGTTCACGGTAGGTGGTCCTACTTTAGGATGACGAAATTTTTGCGTTACTTCTTCTACAAAAACTTCGCTTTCACGCTTTGCAGTTTTTGGTACGGATTCTTTTGCGGCTTTTCCGCTCAGGTTTTATAGAATCATATAAAAAAAATTGGTTGACAGCGTTTTTCGAGATTAATTATTTGAATTTGAAAACTTAAACTTTTTATTCACTTATATATTTCGTTTGACAAATCACAAACAAATTAAAATAATATCGAAATATTCGTTTTCTTTAAAAATTTAACATAATATTTTATTAAATAAATAAAGATTTATATTTTTTTTAAAAAACAGTCACTATTTGATCCTTGGTTCATTTCGTTTTACAACCTCTTTTATACATCGTTGCCCGTCTTGGCTTTAGCCTTTTTCGAACAGGTTTTGTTATAATATAAATTTTACAATATCGTTTACATTTATATTTAATATTAAAAAAAATTATATATATAAAAAATGAATGTAAAACAAGATAAGCAACGTATTCCTATTATAATAAATTATCATTTATAATAAAATATTATTACCTACTATTAATAAAATACGCAATATTTCACTTTCTAAAATTTGATATAAGTTAAAACTAGTTATTAGCTATTAAAATGGAAGTAATAAAAACCAGAAAATTTTTGAAAATGATGAGAGAAAAAGAAAAAAAAATAATTCCACAAAAAATTTTTAATTTATTTTTCACGGAATATAAAGAATATTATTTAAAAAAATTTTAATATATTTTTTTGACATTCCCTCCAATTTTAAAAAAGGTACGGGTTCGGTTTCAGTAAAATTCCGTATTCATAAAATGCTATATTATGAAAGTGAGTTTAGAAAAAAAAGAGGATAGAATGATAATCGGTTTTGTGAGATTTAAACGTGGCATAAATTTTAATAAAATGCGATAAATTTTAAATATATAGCAAAGTATAATAATCGGATGAATTAAAGATAAAGGGAACGCGATTTGAAATGATGGGATGGGAAGGAACGGGCTTAACTGCTTAGATTTTTTTTTTATTTATCGCGCAAATTTGGGTTATTTTCACTCGATACATTTTTTTTTTCAAATAAGGACGTAGACGAGGAAATGTGCCTGAGGTATCCTCAACTCTACCGCTCCAGCTTGGGTAACAAACTTTTCAACAAGAAAATATTTGCTCAAAGCATTCTCCACGGCATAGTCACTTCCTTTATCTTGTTCATTATTCCGTAATTTTAATATTTATTTTTTTTTTTTGACTTCCGCGAAATTTAATATCCTGATAGTAGCTTAAAGTTGATCATTCAGCAAATAGCCCCATTGAAGAAAAATTCAACCTGGATTAATAACGACCATGATTTGATTGGTCGAATTTTATTAAAATGAAATGGCGGTAATATACTATATATCCTATGCACATAGTGAACAACGTTTTAATGTCAAATTCACCCCAGTAAAAAAAAAGATTGGCTCGTTATTCGTGTGATTTTACTAATGTGCATGCACTACTCCTAAATTTATTTCAGCAAATAAATTGACATTGTTTTGTTGGGATACCATGATCTGCCAAATATAAATACAATGCCGGCACTGAACTACTATGACTTTTCAAAGCTTGTTGTTTATCAAGTTATATTTTTCAATATAGCTATTTGCAGACTGGTCATGGTTTTAATAACTTGACATATCCCTTTTATATATATATTTTCAAGATCGTTTGTGTTTAAAATTTTAAACTAAAAAAACTCCCAGCCAAAATTTTTGAAAAATCTTTCGATTTAACAAAAATTTTGAAATGCTTATTAGATCGGGGGGGGGGGGGGGTTATGACACAAGATCATTGAAATTGATGGGTAGTTATAAACAATCGTTTTAACGAAATTGATAGGAGGTGACTGGGGAAAAATTTCTTAGGGAGGTAAAAGGGTCATTGGCTTAGGAAATAATCATTTATATGAACTATTTTATGAAAAAACCATTTCAAATAAAGATATATTTTTTAATGGTTACTTTTTCAAAATGATATTCCTCATAAACATTGAAAATTAAAATGCTTATAATTAACGCGATCTTAAATCCTGGTTGAAAATAAAACGAATGCTTAATTTTTTTTATTTAGGCTGCGTGTCCAAAACTTCTTACAAAAGTTTTTAAACTTTGAAAAGAAGAACTAACATTAAAGTTTTGAAAATTTTACAAAATAATAATTTTTTTTAAAAGTTTGAGCTTCTTTTTGAATTTTTTATTTTAAAAAACCGGGGTTCGGATCGAACCCGGAGCTGGAAATCGTATTCAGAGAATATTTATCTTGAACTTAACACCTAACTCATTAGGATTATAAAATTAAAATTTGTCAAATAATTTTATACAAAATTAATTATAAAAATAGAATATAATAACACATAATTTCATATATTAAGATAAACAAATATGAAATTAGAATGTATTTTGCTTTAGCATAGTTTGAATGAAATATTATATAATATCTTTTTTTAATAAAATGGGTTTTTAATTTAGATCTTTTTTAGGTTGGGTCCAAAATGTTTTGAAAAAAATCTTAAAATTTATGAATTTTCGCAAATTTATAAAATTATGAAACATATCTGAAATCTTCAATTATTTTAAAAACGGAGAAAAAAAAACGAGAATAAAATACGAAAAATAACATACTTTAATATTATTTACTAGCTTTTCCATATAAAATTTTAAATTTTTTCATTGTTACTTATAAATTTTGATCGACACTATTAACATATATGCAAAACTTTGATTGACTTTTCTGAACCAAAACCGAACCTGATGGAACTAAATCTACTTTTGTCGATACTCCTAACAACCGCCTTTTTTTTAAAAAAAAGTCTTATATCTTTTTTTTTAAAAAAAAGTCTTATATCTTTTTTTTTCGATAAAGTTTTAAAAGTTTTCGAATTCATTTTTTTTAGTGTTTACTAATAATTTTAATTATTTAAACAAAAAACAACAACATGGGAAGATATTTCGCATTTTTAGATGGGATGTCTAGCCAAGGTAAGGAGACGGGACTTTTCGTTTTCGGAATCGTTGTTTCCACTTCCCTCATATTTACCGTTAGTTTACAAGTAAGAAATAATTTATAATATATTATATTGAACATTTAAGAAAAACCATTTTTTTTTCACGTTAAAATTTGTATATATATATATATATAATTATTTTTTTCGTAAAAAGGCTGGGTTGGACACTACCTACTGGACCGGTTTCAACCACTTTGTTATATGGGGCAGCATAATATTCTACCTGGCAATGCATTTTCTCATGTACAGCCCAATTTTCAATAGGACATACGTAGGCGTTATGCTAGCGGCCACGGGTCAGCCCAAGTTTTGGTTCACTATCATGCTAACCGTTGCTATTTTGTAAAATTTAAAAAAGAAAATAATTCTTTTAATCTTTAAATAATTATAATAAAAAAAAATTATGAGACTTTTTTCGTTTAATTCATAATATGTTTAAGTGATATTTACTATTCAATATTATAATATATTATTAATGATTAAATGTAAATTCTACTCTTTCCTGATCTGTTGAACGTTCAATTATTTATGTGATATATTTTTTGGATCTGTCATTTTTTTTTAAAATCATCCATTTCATTAGAATCTTACCGGTGCTGGCTATTCGCGTATTTTTTTGTGACACTCGACCTAATTTATCCGATCGCATTCGCTATGCTCAACGCATTTACAACTCACATAAGCGTATGCAACAGAAAAAGGCCTCGCGATTACGATCACAACAAGATAAACACGTTACCACGCACAAATTTTTCTCTTCCTTTCCTCTAGGGCTGTTTCCTCCTCCCCACTTCTATAATGTAGGCGGGTTTAAGGCCGATTTGCCGCGTACCGGTTCGAGTCGTACCGGGCCAGGTCGGGCCAGCATTAGAACCGGGTACGCTTTTGCCCACGAACAAGGCTTCGGAGATCTCATCATCAAAGGAACATCTTTCAGGCCTCTCAGAGGTTCTTTTTCTGCTACAGCTCATGGTCTCAATCCCAAGGACCAAGGCACAAACGATGATGCAAATGAGTAAAATATTATATCCGATATAAGTGAATTTGGAGCAAATTTAAAATTCTTTTCAAAGCCTCGAGTCCGAAATCTTGGCCTTAAATTGATTACGTTAATAGTAAAAGATTTTATTTTAAAACATTAATCAAGAGGATCAATGTATTAAAAATTTATTCACTATCTTTGTTAATCCACAATAATAATTTTTAGGGTTGACATGATTTTTTTTATAAAAATAAAAATATATAGACAATTAATTTGATTAAATCATTTCCTTTTTTTAAAAAAAATTTAAATCTATATTTTTAAAATAAAATAATATTATAATACATGCCCTGTAGGAATATAAACCCCTAGAAAAATTGAACATAGAATATTTTTTTCCTATATGAAATTCACTAATAAATTATTGTTGAAACAGTTATTGTATTGACTAAAAAGTATTTTTTCATTTTTTTATAAAGATAATTATCAATATGTTTAATATAAATGGGTAAATATTAAATTAATTTAAACTAGAATTAACATTAAAATTTTTATATAAACTTCATGAATGAATCTTCTTGATATCAAAATATTGATTTTATTAGCATTTTCATTGAAAATTTTGGGGTTTTATTTCCTTATAAATCTAATTAATAATGACGGCTTTTTTTGCAAAATAATATCACAAGTTAGGGCTCGTATTTTTTACTTTCAGATAATTTAATGTTTATTGTAAAAAATACATTGACTGTTGGATAACTAAATAAAGAAGTTTCTTTTGATAGGTTGTTTTTTTGGCAAGCCAAGTTATACCAATCAATTTCAAAACTGTTTTCTATGCTACATATGCTCGAGATATAAAATATGTCATTATAATATTATTCCCTTTTTAAAAAAAATTTTGATAGTACCGAGGGGCAAACAACTAGTACGATCGCAAAATTTAGCAAAAGTGTCGAAATTAATTCCCAACAACCGTTGTCCCCTTTGCGACTATTGGATCAAAGGCAGGAAGAATCCACAATATCACCTAAGAGAAATCTTTTGACTTTCCTTCCCAAAAGTCCCACCTCCTCTTCTGCCACCGTCATACTGCCCGATAATGACCAGCCTGGTATTAAGGTACTTTAAATGTATTTTTATTTCAAAACAATTATTCATCGTTTATAAAATTTAGATAAAATTATTGTTACATGCTGTAAATGAAAAAATAAAATCATAAAATTCGTTAAATTTTTTTAAAAGGTATTAAAATATCGTCCTATTGGAACCTCTTTCACTTCCGGTCAAAAAAAAGAAACCCCCACTCATCAAGCCAAACCCGGTGACAAATCATCTTCTTCGCATATGATAACCGAACTTTAAAAACATCGAATATAACATATTTTTTCGAATCTCAAATAAAACAAATTTCTCAAAAAATAGATAAATCTTCAACTATAATAACACGAATAATAAACGACGTTTATTTTATAGCCAGTGTTAATAGTCTTTGGAAACGATTATAAATTGGTGATATTTTTTATTTCTTAAAAAAAAGATGTGATTTTATTTTTTTGTTTGAATGTGCATACATATATATATATATCACATGTAAATTATATGAATTTGTCGCAAACTAATTATACATATACAATAATTAACACTTTTTATTATAATATTTTATTCCACTAGTTAACAATCATATTTTTTTTAAATAACATTTATCATTTTATTCAAACCATCGCAAATTCATTCTTGTCATACATGTTATTAAAAAATGTCTAAAAATAAGTATTAACTTCTTTATTATTATTATACATTATTTTTTTTATCTATCATTTAAGTCTATTTTTTTTATATAAAAATTGAAATCTATATTTAAATGTCAAACAAATCTTTTTTATATCAGAATTTAGCTTATATTATTTCAATAAAACCTATTTTTTTTAAAAAAAAACCATCTTTTTCTAAAAAATTAAAGTAATTTTTTATAGAAAACTTAGCTCAATTTTAATATTTACAAGGCAATGATTACTTAAAATGAAATGATACTTTAAACTCACAAAATACGAATCTACTCAACCTCTTTTTTTAAAAAAAAAATCTTATTCCTTTTTAAATAAATAAAAAATATATGATAATAATAATTTATATATTTATTTGATGTTAAATAACACGTTAGTTTGCGTACAAATTTGTTAATAAAATAAATTTTTGAAATTGAATGTATAAAAAAAAATCGTTAGAAAAATACTATAATATGTATATTGTTTTTTTTTAATGAAACTTATTTTAAAAAAGTGGCCATCTCTGGAGGACAATTTTCTGGAAATCATATATAGTATACGCTGAATGTGATTATTTTAAATAAAAATAATTTTGTCATAATATAGCCTAAATATATCATAAAAAAATTTAATGAAATACAATGGCAAAAAGAACGTAAGAAATATGGTATGGTTATATAAATAAGTAGAAATATATGTCATGTATCTTTGATTTGCATTCAATATGAGTAAATCATGGTCTACCAACAACGTCTACATGACAGTATTTTCACTGGTTGCAAACACCACTTAAATAGCTCTATCTACTCCCCCAAAAAAATTTCGCCGTCTTCGACTGCGATATTCTCACTAGTGATCTGCATCGGGCTTAATTTTTCAAGCCCGTCCCTAAATTATTTCAAAAAAGTTCTGCCCGAACTCGAAATATTTTTAGAAAAAATTTACCTGTCCCTCTAATTCCCACATTATTAATTAAACCTTTTTAATCATAATGCCCTTTAATAAATTTTATAAAGAATAACTTAAATTATTAATGCTCTAGTACCATCCATCAAAATATTGTGAATGTAAAAGAGTTCTTTTTTAGAAGAAAAATTCAAAACCCCCTCATTTACAATGAATGCATTATTATAGTATATAGTTGGCATGAATATGAGTGTTGAGAATGTCTAACCCTTTTAAATTACATAAAAAGTTTTATCTGGGAAATAATGTATATTATATGCAATATATAGATATGGTCGATGATTATCAATATTGTATTATGATAGGTCTAAAAATATTAATATTTATAGCAATACATTTTTTCCTATATCATCTTAAAAATTTAATAGATAACTCCCCAATAAATTTATCCTATACCCCCCCCCCTTAAAGGTACCTACACCCCCCCCCCCTCCCCCACTGATGCAGACTGTTTCTAACCCCCCGTCCCCTTCCACCGTTCATGTAGATGCTGCCTAACAAACTATAAAAAAATAGATATAGATTTAAATCGTTTAAATATAATATTAAAAAATAACTGAAATTGATTAAATACTTTTTCCAAATTTTTTCCATCCTGCATAATTTATTAGTCCCAACTGCAATAACTTAGTATTGTATATAATAAAATAAAAAATTTTTTGCTAGTTATATGAACCAGCCATCACATCCATATATTAAAAGATAAAGTTAAATGAATAACGGTTCTATATAGATGTAGACCCGAATCTTGTTGATGGGGTAGATATTGGCATTGGAAGAAAGGGGGAGGGTTGACACATTTTTTCTTAAAAATATTTAAATATATTATTTAAATTTGATTATATTACCGTATTTTAAAATAAATCATATGATAGTAGTCATCTTAAATAGATATCCTAATTATAAAACATATAACTTTGTAATATCAAATAAATTAGCTTTATACAGTTGTACCTATATTTGAAGGTTTTAGCTTATCTGAAAAAATGTCACCCAACCGATTTGATATAACTATTTTTTTACATTTGAACCCTAATTTTGAATAGGTCTGATCAACGATTAAACGAGAGGAGGATGTGGAAGGGGAGGGGGAGGGTAACGGAGCAATTTGCTTCAAATTTTTCAAAGCGGATAAGGTTATATTGCATTATTATCAATTAATTTTTTAGGTGAAATAGGGCAAAATATAGCTATAAAAATAGTTATTTTATAATATATAAACATCGACCCAATCTATATTGCACACAATCATGGTCCTCATTTTTCACTTTTAAATGTTATTTAATAGGCGGCATTTTATCAGCGACTCATATTCATGCCAAACATTAATCTTAAATAAAGGGTGCGTTTTGATTCATAATATAAAAAATACCTTTTATATTGGCGATTTTTTATAGTTGGTAGTAGAATATTGATAAATATTTAAGTTATTCTCTTAAATATATAAGTAAGGATTACCATTATCTAAAATTCAGGAGGCTAAATTTTTTTTATATTGGTAGATATATGTTTTCGAAAAGGATTTGCCTCATATTCTGTTATAGATGGGTCCAATTCTATTGCGAAAAAGATCAAGAAATATTGAGCTGAATGAAATACATTATATCAAAAAAATTTATAAGCACTGGAAGATATTAAAAAAGATTTATCTTGAAAGGGATAATTTAGTATTTGAAAACAAGATAATTTTAAATTTTACTCAGGTCCAATTCTGGCACAGTGTGAGTGAATATATTAAAATCAAGATCCTGATTAAATAAGAGTGAATATAGTGCACTTATCTTTTATATTTTCCTTTTTTGGTTTACTTTAGTCAAAGGCGTAGCTAGGGGAGGGGTGCGATGGGAAATCTTCCCTTCCGAAATATGCCTGTTCTCGTAAATATCACTTTAAGAATTAAAACTAAGAAAAAATTTATTTCTATACCCCCCCCCTCCCCCCCTTCTCACCTTCCATCACCTTCTCGCTTAAAAATGTATAATAAACAATGAAAGAAAAATTACAAAATTTGACTATAATTCTATATAAAAAAGTGAAAACCCTTTTTAAAAATCTAACATAGCAGTTAAATAATAATAATAATTTTTTTTTATATATAGAATTATTTTATCATTTATATTCGAAACTGTTAAAAAAAAATTTCTTGTACATGTTAATAGTTTATCATTTAAATTCGAAACTATTTATTATGTTTGAAGCAGTATTTCAGTTAAAGTCATCGTTAATTTTACTTGATATTATTTGTATTATATAATGCAGTTATTTTTTGATTTTTATTTCTTTTGTTATATCAGTATGTAAATATGTTAGCTTATATAAGAATTTGATTTTATATGTTCGAAAGCATTATGATATTATAAAAGAATAAAATTATTTTGATCACCAGATATTATAACCAAAACTAAGATAAAATAGTAGAAGTGTAGGTGGATTTAAAGTACAATAAAGATTTTTGAAAAAACAATATCCACCCCCCCCCCCCTTGCTTTTAGGTTATGCTTTAGTCCGAACCTTAGGAGAGTATTTTACTTTCGTTAATATGCCAATTTTAGTTAAGTACAGATGCTTATAAATTTTAAAAGATTAAATAATTTTAGAAAGATTCATTTGACTCATAAGATTTTATTTTATGAGGGCATAGAAAATTTACTCCCAATAAGAGTCGGCCAAGAGTATTTAATATTAACTCATGATTTATTAAATGTTACATGGTCGAGTAGCCTTTTTTTTGCCTCCCTACTCTTGAAGTGAAATTTATATATTATTTTAAAAGTAAATTATGAAGTTTAGATTATCAGTATCAACTCCTTTTTCTATATTGCAAATTAAAAATGCCAAGAAATTGACAGTAATAAACAAAGAAGTAGAGGAGATAATACCGTATCTTAAAAATGAAACAAGGATAGAAGTTAAAGATAAAAATTTAGAGTACAAACAAGCAAAGATTTTCTTTTATAATAAAGCAAGTATAATTTATTTTCTTTTAAAATTTTAAATAAAGCTCAGAGAGGCCTTAAATCAAATATATATTAGAGACAATTGCCATCCAGCCAAAAATTACTTATATCCTTTAGTGCAGTTTCCATTTTGGGTCAGTATGTCTTTTGCCTTAAGATGCTTAACAATAAATGGACCAAGTAAATTTTAAAATGATGTATATTTTATATAATAGTATGCCTTTGATTAATTAATGAATAAGTTAGGATTTAAAATAATTTTCTTAGTATAACAATTTTTTTTGAAGATACATATGTGCAGGAACAACTTCAAAATGAAGGTTTGATGACATTTACAAATCTATGTGTTCCAGATCCATACTATGTCTTGCCATTTGTATTATTTATAACAAATCTTCTTGCAATTGAGGTAAAAATGTTCAATTATATTTGATATAATTAAAGTTTTGTTATTCTAAATACCAGTCATTAATTCTTCAAATATAGGTAATATATTAAGGACTGTACCAATCTACCTTATTTTGGTACCCATTTTGATCTGATAACTACCAATGATTCCAATATTTGCATTAATTCATTTTGGGTAACATCAAGAAATAATAATAAAAAAGATTCTTATCACATTAATTGAATGTTAAGATTTTCTTTAAAAAATCATAATTTAATTTTAAACTTAAATCAAAATTTCTCCTTATTTCCCCTACTTACCTTATTTTGGTACCCATTTTGATCTGATAACTACCAATGATTCCAAAATTTGCATTAATTGATTTTGGGTAACATCAGGAAATAATAATAAAAAAGATTCTTATCACATTAATTGAATGTTAAAATTTTCTTTAAAAAATCATACTTTAATTTTAAACTTAAATCAAAATTTCTCCTTTTTCCCCTACTTTTCATGGTTTTCCCCATTTTCTTCTAGGTATTTTCTCTGAACCTATTTTTTTCTGTAATTTTGCAACCCTAATTATAAGTGACATCGAATATATGAATTAAATAGGATATGAATGATTATGATTATAAATATAATTATATTTTTATAATGAATAAAATTTAATTAAAATTTGTTGTAAGTTTCAATACTTTTTAAATCATAATAATAAAAAAGTTTAAATATAAAATAATCATTAGTACAAGCCCAAATTTTTGTAAAAAACTAATTAGGTTTATGTTAACCTTGCTATGAAATGATAGAATACAAAAAATCATAATGAGTATAACTCAACAAACATTGATAATGTAAAAGTTAATGGTGAAAACCACACATTTCTCCCATAATCCAAAAATTGAAAGATGAATATCTTAGATCAGGAGAAGATTTTATTGTGTTAAAAAACCCAAGTTCATTGCACACCTGGCAAATGGATTAAATATGTAATAAATGTGCCTAAATAATGGTTTAAAAAAATTTGAATCAAGATTAAAAATTATGTTAAAACAAGATAATGAGTTTATACCATTTCAGGAATATTTTATGGATTCACATCATTTTATCCATTTCGTAAAAACCTATTAACAGTCTCATATGATTGCAATATTACTCTGGATTGTGTCTTCTTTTTATCATCTCCTCCGCCATTTTTTTTGGAATTGATCATAACAACAGGATTTTATGATTTTTTTAAATATATCATTATGAAAAGTTGATGTACAGGAGACAACAAAGTTTCACTACACCTCTTGATAAAGTCGCAGGTATCAATGACATAAGTTCCGAACACAAATCTGCCCATATCGGTAAAAGGGGAATTTTTAGTGACGTTAACAACAGACTCATTTTGCTTAAATGGATATCGCGTTGCTCTGCTGGCGTTTTGTTTTACATATCTTCAATAGCGCCCTCGGTAAAATTTCATTTATTTTTTGCGAATATGTTCTACACACTTATTTCATTATATTCTACAAATATTTACAAATTATTATTTTTATGTAAATTTGTGAGAAACTTTTTGCTTTAATTAAATGAAATTTATAAATTCTAAGGAATATTAGAATCATACGGGCACGCGCCGATACAAATATTTGCGCTAACGGCCAATAATTTCAATCGGTTACATATCCGAAATCAATCATTAAAAAAATTCTATGCGGTATCCACCTCAAGCAAATTTTTTTAATTGGGTGAAATATAGTTAAAGTTAAACAAATATTTAGGATTATAGGTTAGAGAGATATGGGTTGGTATTAATTTAAGGTATGGGTGATATGGGTCAAAAGTTAAGATATATTAAAAATGGTTTATAATTTAATTATTTTTTGTCAAATCGGACAGGTTATGTGATTAAAAATTCTTTGAATTCAACCATAATCAGTTGAATTAACATGTATTACGAAGAAGAAAAAATAGGTTAAAGGTATTTATAATCGTAACTTAATAATCAGTTTTGGCGGAAATGGAAACTGGCAAAATCATAAAATATGTTGTTTCTTTTCGGTTTGGTGGTATTGATATAGAAAATGCTATCAATGCCTTTGTTGGGAATTAGGAAAAGTTAACTGCATAAAATTGGGTCAGCTCTTACAAATATTTTTTTAAAATATTTAAGGATAAAACGCTTCTATCTTTAAAAAAAACTTTTAACATTGAAAGCGTTTTAAACGCAGAGGACAACGCCACCTAATATATTAATTTATATTAAATCATGGCAAATCACGGTTTTTGTGAATAAATAAAACATTGTCAATATTATAATTATACCTAAACGAATTATTCTTTATTTGATATTTGATTCGAATTTTGCAAATAAATAATTTTTATCTATATTATTCGAAATAATTTGTATTTAAAAATTTTTGATTTAACTACACTAGGTAAGAAGACCGGGGTTATTTCGGATCATTTTTATAATTTTTTTATTGTATAATACATATTAATTATCTTGATTTTAATTATAAATCTATAAAATAAATTTGTTATAACATATATTTAGAAAATCTTTTAAGGTTTTAAATTTATTCACGTATATTATTTTTATGAATCTAAATACTATCTTATAAAATAATTTGAATATTATATTCGGTAATTAGTATAGAAATTAAACATATAAATTTTTCATGATTTGTTTAGCAAATTGAATAAAGTTTTTAATATGAAAGATTGATTATATAATTTTTTATCTTCATTTTAATTTTTATCTTTGAGTAAATTTGTTATAACATATATTTAGAAAATTATTTAGAAAATCTTCTAAGGTTTTAAATTTATTCACATATATTTTTTCATGAATGTTAGATTTGCTAATATAGAAATTAAACATATAAATTTATTATGATTTTTGTTGTAGCAAATTTGGTAAAGCTTTTAATATGAAAGATTAAAACTCCGATTTTTATAATGGGGAATAAAATAGTGATATTAAGCATAGCTAAAATTGTCATTAATGCATTTTAATTCATTTGATTAGAAAAGTTAACCTTTTTAGAAGAAAGACCAAAATATAATTTTGCAGTTTCAAGAATATAATCTCTCAAAAGTTCCTCCCGAGGGTTTGTATATACCTTTGTTTTGTTTGGAGATGGTATCAAAATAAATCAGGGGGCCCAGCATTGTGCCTTTTAGATTTAGATAAATTATCTTGAATTGTTGATTTAGGAATGGACATAATGTTTGATATGGTTCTAATAGATACTTTGTCTTCATGCAATTTTAAAATTTTGTTATAATCTATAAAAGTAAATAACTTGTGATTATTTTTCCTTGTATATTATCGCATTTTAAAAAATTATATAAAAAAAATGAATAAATGATGAAAACATTTATAATTTCAAGAAATTACCCCATCATAATATATCCCCAGTATCTACATAAAGGCCATTAGTCTCAAATAAATCCTTGTTCATAAACTTTGAAATTTTATTTCATATTTGTTAAGGGTGCAAAGTTATTCACAGTATCAATTTTAATGCGTGGAACTTAAATGAATTAGTTTTAAACAAAAAAAAAAACTAACAAACTTTTTTTTAAAACTTCTAGTCATTACAAGTTTTTTTTTCATTAAAATTTTTCCAAAGTGTTTGAAATTCACAAATTAATTTTTTTATGTAAACCTATTTAATTATAATTCAAGTCTCAAAGTCAAATAGTTTTTAAATGCGAAGGCTGTCCGAATTTACCCCATGTCCGAAATAGCCCCGGCCTCCCCTATATATCATATTTAAAAAAATCATTTTGGCGCACAAGATATTTGTCGATAGTAATTCAATAAAATACTAATAATTTAAAATAACTATTATAAAATATATTTTATTATACTCTGAAGGGACTGACGCTGTATTGGCTTTATTCGTGCCTTTTAGGAATTAGCCAGAATCAATTGCTGAGATGGATTTATACGCCACAGAGACCCAAAAAATTAGCCTCAAAATTCTATCACACATAACTTGAATATGTTTTATAAATTTTATAGAGGGGTGATGATTGCATCTCCGGGAACTTTTTTTTGGTCAATGTAAATTTGGTATAGCCACAGATTGTTTGATAAAACTTACTTGATTAGAAAACTGTTTATTTAATTATTGAACGAGATTGCTTCCTATCCATTTAAATATTATATTTTCAAATATGTCATTTATTTTTTTTATTACCTTAAAAATAATGATATAGATATATTAAAGAAATTGTGTAATCATAAAGAATAAACATAATTTTAGACATACTTATTATTTTTTTAAACATAGTTTTAGAATATAAGGATTTCGGTTCTGAAAATAGTTACCTGAGAATTGGATTATTCCATCTTCACTTTTAAAAAAAAATAATTATACAGGAAAGAAGTTTTAAAAATTAAGTTTCTATATTTTCAGTATGATGATATCAGTGTTGGTAAACGCTATTTTAAAGGAGCTCGCTCACGATATTTGTCAAAAAAAGGTGGGGCATTTTCGCTACTGTCAAAACCAAATAGGGGCCTATTAGCTACCTCTATTTTGAAAATTTTTTTTACTAGTAAATCTTTTTTATTTATAATGTATTTTATTTGTGTATATATACAAAAAAAATCAACATCTATAAATAATAATAAAAATAATTATTTATTTTATTATTATTATATTACATTTTAATATAAAAATCGTTTCAATATTATCATCTCCAAGTCTAGATCGGTGATCAGTTAGTATACTATCACTTGAGGGTAATGGTTAATAATCGTTTGCTGCATATTTAGTGAATTAAAAAGTGCTATAGGTTTTCAATATCTGTATCACACGAACTTATTACCTCAATATCCATTGGCTTCGACAATTTAAATTTTTTATACAAATTGATTTAGGTTTACAAATTTCGAAAATATAAATTTCAATTTCAAAATTAATTTAAAAAATTTAAAATTATATTTTAATTTTCGCGTTTACGTGATACGTGATAAAGAACGTTTTCGCCCTCTAGTTGTGGATAGTTTATATTTTTAAAAATTAGCGCGCAAACTCAATACCTATTTTAATAAAAGTAGTGCGCTATTAGCTACCCATAGAAGATAATGCACTACCTTAACAACTTGATGATATTATAACCTTATATTGGTATATATAATTTTATTTATTTTATAAATATTTCTGATTTTTAAAAATATTCAACAGGCGACGATATTTAAAAACAAAATGGCTTCGGTTGGGGTTTCAGCTAAAAAATTTTGTTAAAGCAATCGAGAAAAATTTAAACACTATTAAAAATGAATTCACCTAATAAGGCCTCGGCCAACCGATTTTCAAAGGTCTAACCAAGTCGCGGAATCGATTCTAAAGACCAAGTCAAACTTGAACTACATAAGACCGAGCCTTACCGCAGTGCGATAATGATGTATATACTACTAGATTGGCGGTTTATTAATTAAAAGTGTCAATACTCAGGAGTTAGATTTAGCGTCATTTTGTTTTCGCTTCGACCGATAGTCTTTGTTTATCAATATATGAATGCACATTAATGTCATTTAATTGACATGCAAACCTCAAAAGTGGTGCTACAGTTGGCTCCTATATATGAGCTATTTAAAATGCATTTAATGGAAGAATCGCCAATCTGATAAAATATAAACACCATTGGGCCCGGATCATTATTTGGTTTAGTTTAACACCTAAATAAAAATAAAAGATTATATTTCCATTAAATGACACACAACACAACAATAACATTGTAATTATTTTTATTGCGCTACACAAGATTGTATTACAAGGGAACAATATCTGCCCATGTATAATATAGGATCTATCCAGTCCGTTTTGATTCGGATTCAAATTATTTTATGCATTTTTTAAGAAAAAGTTTAATCCATAAATTAATATTATTAATTGACTAAATATTTTTTGAATTATATACCACTTAAAGTCTATTTTACATTTTAAATTTTATATAAAGAACATCTAATTAAAAGGAACTATCACCCTAGAGATGAGTGAATGCTTAAAAGTTGCGACTAAGGTAGTATCCTTCATTGGGGTCATAAGCAATGAGTTTCTTTTTTGCCGATGGCTGCCATAAAATTGAGGGCCCTTTTTCCGAACACCCGTACGGTGTTAGTGGCTATGGTATAAAACTGTGTTCATGAGGCTAGGGTATTTTTTATTAAAAATGACTTCTACCTTTTCGGTGGCAGAAAATGAGGTTAGACTTCGCTACAAAATCAATTCACGTGTTGTAACATGTCAGTGTGACTTTTCGTCCTGGAGATAAGGGATATGCCATCCGGGCGTAGGGCGTTATCATTTAAAAGACCCACTAGTTCAAGAGTTGATTGAATATTAACTTTTTTGTGGACACCTAGAAGAATGTTGTTAATGGATTTATCGCGGAGGTTGACGTTCACGGGAGAACTTGCAATGCAAGGGATGATAGGTGTTCGATTCTATGGGCTGGCCACAATCGACGCAAATGGAGGGTATAACTGCATTGCAAAAGACGGAGAGCTATGTATATTTGTAGTTGTTCACTAGACATGGGGCCAAATTTGAACTGTGGATGGCTTCCAACCATTCATTATTAATTTTACTAAGCATAATTAGGATAATAATTTTATTTTAACTGGATCATACTAAAGGGAACTTGTATTAAGGTACGTTTATTTTAGTATGATTTTGATTTTTTTTCATGCCCTAATATCATCTATTGTTTTTTCCCATTCAAGTGTTTTTTTCATGGACAACTATTTACATTTATTTTATGTGCCTTCACCCTTAGATTATTCACCTGTATTTCAATTATTTTGTATTTTTTCTTTCAGACCCCGTATTTCTCATGTACCGACTATTATATATCGCTTTTTTGTATCCTTAAAATATATTCACATTTATCTTTATTCCCTGATATCTTTCTTTAATTTGCATCACTTTTTTTATTATAATTCTACTTCATCAAAATACTGGATATACTAATATAATATAAGTGATTATTATTAATTACTTACATATAGCTCATAAGGAATGACGAGGGAATCAGAAATTTATCATTATTTTGATGAGGGGGTGCCATTATAAATTTCTATTTCTTGAGATATGAATTAGAAATTTGACCTTTATTTTGATGAGAGGTGATACTAAAATTTTCCATTATTTATAGGTGGATATTTAGTGACTTTAATATGAACAAATGGAAAGTATTCGTAAATGTATTATTTTCAATACCTATTTCTAATTCATAATATTTGAAAAAAGTGGTCTTTAGATACACAATAAAATAAATCTTTTCAACTATATATTTATTTAATGGTCTGTAATTTATGATCTAAATAATTTAATCTTGCTGGGTGACGAAAAATTTTTTTTTGAGATATTGTGAAATCGATAATCCTAAAAATAATGTTCCAATTAGTTGTTCATATTAATAGAAGATACTAAATATACCAACTTATATCATCAACATAATTGAAAACTGCACATCACCTCTCCAATTTTTTGATTCATTCGTTGACTAATAAGATTTAATTGAAGTTTTTTTTTCTAAAATATATTCCATTCTTGAGCTATGGCTCGATACAACATGATTGCATCATTTTGCTCGATTATCTATATTTCTTAGTTACTGAATCACCTGCTTTAGAAAATAATTGTTTGACAAGGAAAATTGAAGTTGCTTAAATAAATTATTTACATTTGTTAAAAATTTTTAAATGGGCTCCGGGTCTGGTTCTTAATAAATTTCAAAATAGGGCTTGTAGTTATGATTTATCGATTTATCTCAATTCCAGTCTCCGATTTTTAAAATTTATTATCTTAACGTAACTTATTTTTTTATTTCTTCTAAATGATCATTTCCAGTATCAGTCATTTTGAAATTTACTTAATATAATAATAATAATATGTAAACAATGATTATTTTTCTATTTATTTATGATATAATATATTTTGATTAATTGTTACAATCAATAATTATATATAATTTATTTTAAAAATTGATATATATTTATAAAGATTATAATCATTGTGGTGTGTAAAAGAATTTTAACGCGAATAAATTTCGTTATATATAACTTCCTTTTTATTTTTTCTGAGATGCATAGGTAAATCAAACAACTCATATGTATATTTTATGATTTAAATATTTCTATATTATCTTTGGCATTATCATACAATGCAAATTTTTAATAATAACGTCAAAAAAACTTTCTATATCTAAAAGAATTCGAAGAAAACGTAGCATCTGTTTCGCATTCATCGAATTTCTTTTTACCGTTGATCAAGTAAATGGAGTTCATGATACCATTGACTAACTTTTTATCACCTCTAACTTCCATATTTTCGCTCAATTCGTCTTTAGCGAATAAATCATTATTATTCGAATAGCTATTTTTATTAACATTATTATTTTCAGTGTTACACTTTTGAGTCTTTTCAGGTGATGTTTCCGTAAAGTTACGATTTAAAAATTTGAAAGGTAACGGTATTTTGGTTATATCTGGATGTTTTCTTAATTTTAAAATATAATCGCGCATATAGTAGTAATTAGAGATCTGCATCGGGCCTAAAAATAATTAGACTAGGCTCGAAAATCCGAATTTTTAAAAAAATTAATTTGTTATAGCCTGAGCCAAAATTATCTTAAAAAAGTAAATTCGGATTTCGGCGGGAGGGGGAGGCCTCGCAGATCACTAATTACAATATTTTTGATATTTTAAGTTTGCGAAAAAGGCAATATCCTCTATTTGTTTTATTGCAAAAGTAAAATCAGAGTTTTGTAAAAAATCTGAAAACACGTGAACAAAATATTTTTAATGAAAGATATTTTATATATTAAAATTTCGGAAGATTTTGGCATTTTTAATTTAATTTAAAAAATTTCTGTTTAATCAAAGATCTTTGTTCAAAAATTTTTTGATTTTTTTTTTCTCAAGAGTAAAATAAAGCCATAAATATAATAAATGGCAAAGCGAAATGGGTAATGATGTATAGCGTTGAACTCTATTGATTTAATTTTAAATGTGTTTTTATTGAATAATTAAATAAAGTCGTAATTATTCCTTATATTGAAAAAAAAATAGCTCTCGTGTAGCATTTTTGGCTGAGTTAGTGATTTCATATATGGCATACCGTATAAATC